AAAGGGGAATGCAGGGGAGAGGTACTGAACAGCGGCCCCCAGCCTGCAACTTATTTTTATTTATTTTGTGAATTGAACTTCTGGGACAAATGTCTTTAAAACATAGTCTGAATCAACAAGTTTGAAATACCTTGGATGGGAGGATCCCAAGCTCTCTTTTCAGGGGCTTTTCTGAGCCTCTGCTTTTGAGCCAGACATGGGGAGAAGGCTGGAGTGAGGCCTCCCTTGCCAACTAGCCATCGGCTCTCTGCAGGCCTGGCCCTTGCCCTGTGCTCAGAGGCAGGATGGGGCACACAGGCCCGGGGCCGCACCTGCCCACCAGGAGCTGGGAGCAAAGTGGGTCAAGGGGCGGGAGAGCAGGCGGCTCTCAGCACCTGCTTGAGAGATGCACCTGCTGAGCAAGGTCAGGATGTGGTGGGGTGCCCCGGAAATCCTGCCTGGCCCTCAGCGAGGGGAGCAACTGTGCCAAGCCCCTCTGCCAGCTCTCGTTTTCCCTGAGGCAGAGAGTCAGCCCCAGGCGGCTCTGAACAAGCCCTGAGCCAAATGTGGAGTCACAGGCACCAGTTGTGGTGGCGTGGGAGAGGTCGAGGCAAAACAGCCATGAGCAATAGTCCCGCCCAGGGCTTTTCATATCTTATTTGGGGACCCTGAGACAACAGAAGGGAATGGGCTTATTTAAGCTTGCACAGTGAATTGGGGCCACCCTACCCCCTACAAACACCATCTAACGTTCGTGAACTTTTAGCTACCACTTACCAGATAAACGTCTGCTTTAGATATGATTTGCAGTTTAATCCTTGGACAACCCTGTGGGGCATGTATCTGTTCCACATTGATCGATTTGAGAGCTGAGGCTCAGAGAAGTGAAGGAATTTGCCTAAGGACGCACAGTCAGGACATGAGGAATTGAACTCTGAACTAGGCCTGCCTGTCTTGAGGACTCTGATTCAGGGCTCCTCCTGCTTCCAGAACTTCTGAACATAAAGCAACTCGTGAGTAGGAATAACATTTGGACATTTTGGAAATTAAGGAGATGCTGATCAATTCACCTGTAAGATCACTCACTACCCAGAGAGATACAGACAGAGAGAGAGAGACAGAGAGAGAGAGAGAGAGAGAGAGAGAGAGAGAGAGAGAGAGAGAGAGGCAGCCCTTGGAAGCATTTTGGAAAATTTCATTCACTATTTTTCTACATAGACTATATGCACATGCAGGATTTTCATGAAATTGGCATGCTATAAGTTAGTATTTCTTTCTTTTTTTTGTTTAGTCCTAGAGCATGAACAGTTCTTTAAAATAATCCTAGGAAGGGATGAAGTGTTCCGTGCATGTCTCTCCTCACCCCGCCCATCACTGGGAGCCTCTCCTGTCCCTCTGCTTCCCTAACTGGATCCCCAGACCTGAGCTCCCATTCACTGCCACGTGACATCCAAGAGGCATTCAGGGCTTCTGTTTCCCTTGTATTGAAGTCACCCCCAAAGTTGATGACTCCCAAAGTTTGCTCTGCTGGCCTTTAGAAACCACTTTTCTGCTATCTTCTCAGAAGGAACAGGGAGGCAGGAAGACAGACAGCATGGCTCAGAGGTTCAGAGCACAAGTCATGGGGTCAGGCAGGCCTGCTCTGAGCCCCAGCTTTCCCTCTTACTAGTCTTACAAGCTTGAACAAGTTACTCACTGACCCTAAGGGGAGCTGTGGGAGCATCCAGGACATGATGGCTGTGCAAGGCGTACCTGAGCCTGGCACAGTGATGGCTGGCCTGGCAGTTCTTCTGGGCATCGCTGCTGCTACTAGAGGTGACATGTGGACACTGAGGTTCCTGTGGCACTGTGGCTCTATGCCTCAAAAGAAAGTCATATGTGTGGGCTTATCACTGTCACTCTGTGGAAGAAATTTCTAAGGCCAAGGGGAAGCACCACGTGGCAGGTTTCCATGTGCATTCCAACTGCTGCCCAGGGTTCGGATCCCTGGTTACTTGCAGAGTCTATCGTGCATTCCCTGGCTGAGTTCCTTGAGCTGTCTCTGGCACACTATGAAGGGCACAGGCTCCCTTCCTTCTCAACAGCCAGACTGGGTCAAAGGTGGATGAGGGACAAGGTACATAGATCACCCTGGGATGGCCCAGGAGTGAAAGGCTCAGGATGTATAAGGTGGCGCAGAGCACACAACAAAAGGACCCAGGCTCTGGGCAGACAGAAACCTGGTTAGTGAGGGGCTGCCAGCCAGCCTGTCTAGGCTCCTAATGCAGCTCCCCACCTATGGGCGGCCCGTCCTCACCTTGAGCCCACTCCAATGTGACCAGCCCTGCACTGAGCAGTGTCCACCCTCAGGACAGACACAGCAGTCCCAGGCACAGGTCCTGGGGGTGAAGCCAGGAGACATAGGGTTCCCAGCTCCAGGACCACGGTCAGGCGAGGGCAATCCTGATCCCCAAGCCACGGTGACAGGAAGAATTTCTGCAACAGAGCTGCAGGGAGACTCGGGGCTGAAGGTGGGCCTGGTGCATGTCACCTGTCTTCTCTCAATCTTAATGAATACAAAGGCAGAATTTGGATTCCGTCCAATGGGACGTCATAAAAATTATGATGGTTCCTTCCTCTTCATAATTTTCAATAAGCCATGAAGTCTTGATTGCCAGAATGAAGTGGAGTTAAAGGCTCCCCCTCTGGAGACCACCTTTCCCACTCATCTCATTTCTCGGGAAAGGAAACTGAGGCCCAAGGTCACCCCCAGCAGGCAGCGTTGCTCCAAAGACTGGAGGGAAAATAATGTGCTTAGCATGACAGTCCTTTGACCTGGAAACTGAGAAGTCACGCCACAAAGGCGAAGGAGAAAGAAGCCAAGAATTATGAAGCCTTTGTTAATTAACTCATTTCTCATTTGCCCTTTCCATATTGTTCCTAGAAGCAATTATGTCGCTCGTCCCCTCTCTCCCACCTCTAGTCACTGCATAAAACTGTCACAGATTAAATCAAATCGTTCAGTCACTTCATTAGGGAGACTCCAGCTTTCATTCTCAGGGGTATTTTCCTTCTTCTCAAATAAAAGCTCTTTTCTGATGAGTTAACTCCTTCCTGGGGCTCCGGGAGACCAGTGAGCAGCTGCCAAGGGCCCATGGAGGGACTTGGGGGGCGCATAGCACAAGTGCAGCCCTCTCTCCCAGAGGAATGTCGCGAGTCTCGGGTCCCAGGCCCAAGGACTTCCTTCGCTCTGGTCTCAGAACCTCAGGTATTTGTCTCTTATCAGACAGACCATCTGAAAAATGTAAGTTTAAACTCCCATTTTTGTCTTCACATATGGGATTCCAGGAACTACCCCAAAATAGCACAAGAAGCTTGAGACAAACTGTTAAGTTACGGAGAAGAGTCTGGTGAATGCCACAGGCTTTCCCAGCTGTTCCAGCACAGTTGTGGTATGAGGGGGCGGGAATAGACGGGACGTTACGGCCAGAGCTTGCTGCTGGCAAGTGGCTTGGGGAGGGAGAGAATGGAGTGGTGGGGGGAGGCCGGCCAGCTGGAAGGAGGGGCTGCTGGGGTCTTATGCACAGTCACTAGCCCCATTTAAAGACACTTGGTGCCAAGGGGCAGAGTAAAAGGACAGAAAGACGCTGTTGAGGGAATCCAGACAGACCACGCTTGGGGCACGGAATACCTGGCAGAGCCGGTGGTGGGCAGGGACTACTGTGCTTGGTGTCAGGGTTGTCTACATTCTGAGTGCTTTCTCTAGGAGTTCCAAGGCCTCAGTGATAACAGACAGGGAGGCAGGCTGTGGGATTGGGAGGCAGCAGAAAAGGATGGGGCAGCAGTGGCTCTGCTCTGTATGGCTGTGTGTGCCATACCCGTGCTCTGTGCAGAGCTGGACCTCGCAGAGCTGAGAAGGCTAAGTGTTGTCAGGGGGCTGTGTGTGTTTCCTCCCTGAAGATGTCCACGTTGGGGCCCTGAGGCTGGTAGGCCTACATGGTCCTGCCCCTCTCATAGTGGGGGTTCAGGGCAGGGCTGGGCAGAGAGTGTACACTAGGGAATATGGGGCTCAGTCACCCACCTATAGTTTGCCGGGCCAGGAGTTAGAGACAAGGTAGGTGCATCCACCTCCTCTGGGAGAAAGGACAATGCTGAACAACCTATGCAGACTGAGGGAAGGGGCTGCTAGGTCATGGGGCACTGTGAAGGACTGGGAAAACCTAGATTAGCAGGTAGCCCGTCCTAACCAGTTCCTGAGATCCACAGGGCCCAGACAAGATGAGGTCCCTACTTCACTTTAGACAGGAAGCTCTTCTGGCCTTGCTTTCATGGTGCATAGCAAGTGTTTAATTTTTACAGGTCTTGTGATTATCTTGAGAATACTATGCTGTATTAGTTTCAGTTTTAAGTGATAAGTTGTTCATGTAAATATTTAGAGCATATGAACTTTAAAAGAAAACCCCTCAACCTGAGTGACCTTGTTTCTTAATATGCTAAGAGTCCCACTTCACACCACTTGTTCTCCAAAACTAGGCAGGGCGCCAACCTTCCTCCACCTCATCTTGAAGGCCTCACTGTCCCACATAGCATAGACCATTTAGATCCTATGCAGTTGGCTCTACTTGCAATTTTTCAACTTAACGCTGCCATCAGGGCCATATACACTGAGTAGAAACTATATAGTAAGTTTTAAATTCTGACCTTTTCCCAGGTTGGCGATATTGGTATGATCCTTTTTCTTTCTCATCAGCCACATGGTGGTAAGGGAGACAACCCTCCCCCTACACTGTACTGTGTCACTAACCTGTGATGTTCTGCAGGTTAGATGTGGGTAGTCAGTGCATTTGGACTAGCAGTATTTTCAGCAAGCAATGGACTTATCAGGGGATGGCCCCGGAAGGGCGAGGAGCACCTGAACATAGAGCAAGGCGGCCGGATCCCCCGCTGGGTGGGAGTGGCCCGGCTGACTCAGGACCCTTCCAAACTCATGAAGCTTTGACCCCAGGTGCAGACACAGAACAGATGGGGCACGTTTCTCGTTGACTTGGACACAGGCTGGGGAACCTGCCCATGTCCTCTCTGGTCCCACAGGCAGCATACAGCTCTGTCTGTGGATGGGCCCCTCTTCTGTGTTTCGAGCATCCTGTGAGGATGCAGCTTCCCTAAGACTCCTTTCTGCAATCATCTATGTCGCTTTCAAAATGCTTGTGTGAGGGCCCAGAATCTGGGTGTTCATCACTAAGGACAGCTGGGGAATAAGTTGGAAGTGGCTGTGACTGGCACACTTATGCCAGGCCACAGTCTAAATTCTGTGTGTCCTTTATCTCGTCAATTTTGTAGGCACAAACCAAAGGTGTTCTGTTAGGCTCCAGAACAGGTGGGACAAGGTGTACAACTTAAGGCTTGAGGTTCAACGGCTCGAAAGTGCACTGCCGGGATTCTAACTGGGGTGGGCCCCAGGAGGAAAAAGTGTTAGGTGAGCAAGCAGGAGACTAAATATCAGCAGTTCAAGTCCCAGCCCCGCTTCCCCTGCTGTGTGACTCTGGCCAAGTCACTTAGCCTCTCTGAGACTCAGCTGTCTTCCCTGAAAACTGAGCTTAGGGATGCACGGTCTCTGCGGTGATGGAAAGTCACACAGGAGTGAATACTAGAGTGTCATCAGGAAGCTGTCTTTCCCATCGCTTTGTGAAAGCGTGTTGGAAAATTCAAACAGAGAAGAAAACACAGGGCCAGGACCCCCTCCACATCCCTTTGGGCTATTATGTCACATCGCTCCCAAGTTTGTGTGCCCTGATTTCGCACAGCGAGGAAGCTGATGGCTGGGGTTTCTGGGCTCAGACTCTTTGGGGCCAACTGAAACGCTGCTCAGCTTCTCACACGAATGCAGCCTGCCGTCCTCGGCCCCGGTGCAGAAGAATGGAAACTTCTACCACCAACAGCATTTGCTAGCAACTTCCCTCTCTGTGGTTTTTCTCTGTCATTCCCTTGATAAAAGAACTCGAACTGAGCAAATGTAACCAACACAAATCACATCTTGATATGAAAACAGCCGCCTTTCAAGAAGCAGGCTGCCTGGGAAAGGATGCGCGATGCACTCTGAACTGGGTCACTCTCCCCCTCAAGTGCCCAGGGTGCAGCTGACTTTCCGTGTGTACCCTTGTACCTTAGGCTTCAAGCAACTCCGGCAGCCCCAGGGGAGAGAGACATGGGCAACAGCATGAAATCCACCCCTGCACCCCCGGAGAGGCCGCTGCCCAGCACGGATGGTAAGTCTGACTTCTCCTTTGGCAAGATGTTCAACTCTGTCCTATGTGCATGCTGATCAGTTTGCTAACTGGAATTCATTAGACTCCACTTTCTTTGTGGTTCGAATATTTAGTAATTGAAAATTTTTAAAACCTGTGTGGTTGGCAGCGATGTTAAGTTGTGGGCATTTTGAGCCAGATCTCTGAGATTGGTTGGTTTAGTCCCTTCATTTCACAGGTGTGGAAACTGAGTTCCCTCTGCCCCAAAGGTAGTTTGTGTCATTAGCAAGTCACAGAGGCAGACCTCCAACCCAGGACCTTCTGAGTCTGAAAGCCAGAGCCCAGCTGATCTTACCCTGCCCACCTGTGATGCAGTATTATCGTCCACACAGGCACCTCTCAGTGCCACCCTCCTGAGCTGGACTGTCCCTACCATGCTCCCCAGAGAAGAAAGAGGTCCTTGTGTTCCACTGGTATGATGGCAAGGTGCCAAACATTCTGGAGTGGGGTACTGGGCTAACCAGTGGTAGCAAGACACCCCCAATGTACAAAGAACTGGTTAGCAAGTGGCCAGAAAAGGGGAGGGAAAATCAGCAAGCAGAGCCAAAGACTGAAAGTCAAATCCCCTGTGTTCTGAGTCAGCCATTCTGGATGCTGTGCTGGTTGTTTCTGACATCCTTACCTTTGTTCGTGAAGATTCCAAGTCCAGGTAGTGTATGTGTGTGTGTAGTGGTATCTGTGTGGGTCCTCTGGGGGGCTGGAAAGGGACATCGTGGAGGCCAGGGGAATTCCTAAGGAAACTCAGGGCATTTCTGGCTCCCTCCTTACATCACAGCATCTGGGGGCTGGTGTCCATCTCGCAGCAGAGGTGACCAATGCCCAGTCCTCTCTTCCCCGGTGGCACTGCACTGGCAGTCACTAGCACAGATGGTTGCTCTGTCAACATGAGCGTGGCTCCCGCCTGCCTCTAGCTACTGCTCCATCCTCGGCTTCTCTGCTCCCTTTACCAAGCAGCCTCCTCCCTCTGCCCAAGTGGACCAGCACAGCTGCTGAAACAGTGCAGTCCCTCGGCCTTCAGGTGCCCACGTGAGACGGCTGACAGAGCCTCCCCACGTCCCTACAAATCAGACTCAGGCGCTCCTAGTGGCCCAGAAATTCCCCTCTCTAAGCCAGAGAGAAACACAAAGAACATCCCCAGGTCCAGGAGACAGACCCTGGGATAAAGTGGACCAGAGTGTGGTCCTCAGGCTGCCATCTCCCAGGCAGAGCTCACCAACTGGGCTGGGCTCCAGCCCTCCCCAGACTGGCCCAGGCCCTGGCCTCCTCCTGGTCCTGACTGCCACTAGAAAACTGCCGCAGTGCCTGGAGCCCAGGCCAGCTCCGGGGCACCCAGCCGAACCTGTCGCGAGTTGTCGCCTCTCACCCCAGAGCAGAGGGCCAGCACGCTTGAGCAAACCCCATGAAAACATCGGCCTCTGAGGACTTGCTCATTTGCCTTTATTTTTTTAATGCAAATTGTCCTGAAGTAAGTTTTTCTCTTTCCGTGATGTGGGTGGGAGGTCACCTCTAAAAAAGAAGTTGAGGGGTCTCCCCCCACTCCGCCCCCTGGGTAAGAGAATTCCCCAGGTCATACCGTTTGTAATCCAGGTAACCACATCAAGCATTGCTGGGTTGCTTTTTCACCCTTACCCCTGAAAAGTTTCCTTTATCATCAGTCCTGACTTCGTTCCTCTTTCCTCTTGCACCTAGCAGCTCAGGGAGGAGAAGTTGGTGGGATGCATGCTGCATTAATTAGTTCCTGTCTACGTGAGCCAGAGGGTCAGGTCTCTCATGGAAGGAGCTCCTACACAGCTATGCTAGTTCAGCTCCTCCTGCCTTCCAGGAGGCAGCACCTGGCTTGCTGGTTGCCTTAGACGAGAGCACAGCCAGACTTCCTGTGACAGTAACCTGAGAGACAAAAGGGAGAAGGCTCCAAAGCCCCTGGCCCTAACAGGCAGCTGCAGGAGGGTGACCTCAAGGCCACAGCTTGGATTTCAGATAAATGAATTTCCTGAGCTTCGGGGGAATCTTTCTCCCCCAAACCAGGGCCATGAGTGCCTTGGAATATGGCTTTGACCATGTGTTTTCTCCCAAATCAAGCTTTCCTCATTATACTAGCTCCAGAGACTAATGTCACAAAAGGCACAGAAATAGCAGGACTCGATGGAAATAGGGCAGCTTTCAGAGGCAAAGGACCTCCACTGACTTGGCGATGTTCCTCCCTCGGAAGCTGTGTGACCTTAGGGATGTTCAGCCTCCCCTGGGGACTTGGTGGGAAGCAGAGTTGGAAACATTCCCTTCCTCACCACAGCTCACTGGCAAATGAAGGTGGGACTTTCAAAACCACACTTTGGGAGGTCTGGCAGCACTGGGGTGTGTCTACATGGCCATCCCGCAAAATGGGTAAAGGTAGAATTAGCCAGTCCGTGGCTTGTCTCCGAGTTATGCCAAGGAGTGAGTCCTCTGTACAGCCCTATATTGTCTCCTCGCTCCTCCTCAGTGCCCGTCCAGGCAGCACACAGCTGCAGGGCACTCCCAGCATAGGGGGAAACAGCATAGTTCCACCTTACAAAGACAGTCAGTCACGGCTGTGACCCTCCCCCTGTCCTTCCCTGCCTTCTGACCACTCTGACCTACAGTGAGGCTTCACCACCAGCACTGGCCGAGCAAACCAAGCAGCATTCAGACCCCTTTCCACCATGCCAGCATGGAAATCACATCCCTGGTGCATTGACATGGCTACCTGCCCATGGAAAAAGGGGGTGGGCAGGGCCTGGGAGGAAGAGGACAGAGAAATCTCCAGATCTAGCTTGGTTCGGCCCTGAGCCCACATCAGAATTCCCTGGGAAGCAGTGAGCAAGCAGATCTCCCCACCCTAGACCTGCCCGCCAGATCTGTGAAGGTGCACAGCAGCAGCAAGATGCATTTGTACTGATCCCTGGCAAACCCTAAGCCCCTACAGCTGGGGACCACGGACCAGCTCCTAGTCCTGCCTCTGTACAAATGCACAGCAAGAGGAGAAGTGGGTTTCTCCCCACTTGTCTGCTGATTCTCAGTTGTGAAGTGGGAATGGGTGCAGAGTGACCCAGTGCTCATGTGCCAAATAGTTCCAAATGCTTCCCACGCATGAATTGACACATCACACCTGCAATTATGCATCACATACAAATTACATGGTATATGTGAATTTACACATATAAATTCTTAATTCTCACAAGGGCCCATGATGTTAACACATTTATCTGAATTTGCTGCGGAGAAGACTGAGGCACAGAAGGTTAAATGACTTCCTGAACCCATCTGGCTGGGAAGGGGACAGCAGGGAGGCAAAGCCAGGGGGCCTGATCCTAGCATCCCTCTTCACCATTGCATCAGGTCAGATAGGGCCAGCTCTCCAGAGGCCTGAGTGCCCTGACGAGGACAGCTCTCTGGGGTGAGGAAAGTGTTCCCGGTCACAAGGCTCAATGACAGACTCCTGTGCCCAGTGAAGGGTCCCATAGACGGGAACCTGCATCAGATCCTAGGCGAGAGTCTGCTTTCTTATTTGCGTCCTGCCCACTGTGGCCAGATCAGGCATGGGGTCCATGATCATTCAGCTTTTATGTCATTTTTACATTTAGGGTCTATCAGAATAACGTAAGTGGCTGATTAAATCCATGATTTCATGTTCTTAGAACAAGATGACAGGTTTTAAAAGTTAAGTGATGTTAAGAGAGACGTTATTAGAGGCCACTAGCAGTGTAGGCAGCACTGGACTCCAGTGGCAAAGGAGAGCCAGTGGCCAGGACATAGCCCACATGTTTGGCCAGGAGGTGGCCCTGGTTTGACTCCTGGCGTGTGGCTGCTTAGCTGGGAGGCCTCAGGCCAGTCTCCAGATCCTGCTGGGCCTCTCCCCTGATGCCACTCAAGGTGACCACTGCCTACCAGTGCCACGGAGAGGGCTTTGAGGGCAGCATGCAGCCCAGGCAGGCCACCCAGAAATGGTGCCGTGCTGGTCCTGCTGCTGCCACCTGTGAAGATGGTGGGAAAGAGAAAGAGGGGCTGAAGGCAACTGAAGTCTGGGGAGCCCTGGGTGCCCAGACAGCACCCACTGTGGACTCTGCAGCCCATAGGTCATCTCCTCCTGCTGCTCTATGCCAGCTCCCTGGGCCCACGGGCCCTGAGAGGATGGAAACTGCTGCTAATGCTTTTGGGGTTGGTTCTGGTCCAGTCTGCCCACCAAAACATGGAGAAACCAGAGCGTGGGCAGAAGAGTGTTCTGGACAAGTGTGTTTCATCTTACATATTAGCAAGAGTCTCATGGTGACAGCGGAGCCCGGTAGACTGTGCCCTGGCCAGCTGCCAGGTGCCATCAGATTGTTTTCTTGTGTATGTGTGCAGTTTCCTGAGAAAATTACTGAGAGTCAGGCTGCTGTGACCCCACTGAGTCCATGAGCTTGGGCCCGACACTGGAGCACTGGAGCCACCAGCTGCCCGGGATGCAGGTCCAACTCTGAAGTCTCACTGGGAGTTGGCCCTGGTCTTAATCTGCTAAGGGTCAAGTGTGGGTGAGGCAGAGCCTGGAAACTAAGTGCCAGGAGAGTCTTGTGCACAGCGGAGCTGTCGCCAGCCAGCAGGGGCTCTCAGCCCCAACTGCCCGGGGGCTGTGGCTCACGCCCATAATCCCAGCACTCTGGGAGGGTGAAGCAGGAGGACTGCAAGCTCCAGCCCAGCCTGGGCCAGTCAGTGACTTAGCAAGAACTTGTTTTAAAACAAAAAAAGTAATAAAAAAAAAAGGCTGGGGGATATAGCTTAGTGTGAAGCTCCTGGGTTCCAAACCCAGTACTATGAAAAAAAAAATTATTATAGGAAAGAAACACAGATATAGCAGAGATGGCTGCTCCACAGACAAAGCAGTGGCTACTCTACCCCACAGTCAGAGTCACACAGAATAAAAGATACATCTTATATTTGTGGCGTCCCTCCCTGGTTTCCAGGGCACCCTGCTTTCTTACCCCAGGAGGGCATCACTTGCTCCATTGATTAACATTTGCCTCCCCTCTCCCTCTTATCCCTCATACCTGCTCCTTTTCTATCAGGTGGCTACTTTAAAGTCCATTAGCTCCCTCACATACCCACCTGGACTCTAGATCCAGACCGCCCATGTTCTAAGCCGTCTTCTGCAGCTTGTTTGCTATTTGGCTTTGAGCAAATGACTTAACCACTTCAATGTCCTGTTTGCTCCCTGCCTCAAAGAGACCCCAGCTTTGAAATTCTCATGCTCTGCCTGGTGCTAAAATCCCCATGGTTGGTTCTTCACTCTCCAAGTCAGAGTCTTTGTGCTGCAGGATGGGCCAGAGTGTTGAAGATATAAATGTCTCAGTGTGCTGCACGATTATAAACGGGAGCTACTGAGGGCATTTTCAGCAATGGGAAAGAAACAGGAAGGATACTCCAAAGAATAATCAGGTGCAAATGAGCCTGCTTTTTAAAAAAACTATATTATATTTGTGCCCAGCAAGCTCTGCCCAGGGCCCCTTCTTTTTTTCCAACCCAGTTCCTATTTTATACTTCTGTACAATCTGTTCACCTGACTCATTCCCCTGTTGAGCTATCAGCAAATATTTAGTATTTTGAATTTCATCTTCTGTTCTCAGCCTGGAATTTGTGTTTAGATGGTAAGAAGGAGATAAGATATATTCAAATCCACAATACTAGATAGTTTCAAACTTTAGAACTATTGGCTGAAACTGGTCTTGGCGTGGGATGGTCGCCCTGCCCCACATGACAATGACACTGCCTGTCACTTACAGGGACAGACTCTGTATCTCACGATGATGCATTATGAATCCTTACCCCATCAGGTGAGGCAGAGTTTGATATTTCTCATTTTCATTTGTGAAGAAACCGGGCCCAGATTAGTTCACACTCGATCTGTCCCCAAATCGCAGAGCTATTAAGTGGTGGAGGTAGATTGAACCCAGATCCAGTTGATTTCAAAGCCCATTCCCTTTCCATAGATCTCTGCCCAATGCTCCCTCTGGATTTCTTTCATGCATGGCACATACGTCTTTACTTAATTTGTTTCTTGTCTTAAATCTGCAATAATCGCACTTATGTTCTCAGCGCCTCTCTCTCCTCATAACGCCTTTATCCACTCTGACTCCAGAGCTCAGCTCTCCACAGAGCCAAGGGGCCGCAGGAGTACGGGATAACATGGTGCAACTTGAAAAGTAAAGTGCCATTTCCTACCTTGCATCTATTTCACCGTAGGGAGCAAAGCTCAGAGGAGACACGGGAGGGGTCCCAGGAGAGCAGTGTGCTTAGGATGGTACCTGTCCCTACAGATGTACCTGCTAGTGACTTGTTCTTCTAACCCTGACTGGGGACGTAGGTGAAATCCCCTTCAAAGGACCATGCGCTCACCATCAGCCCCTTAAACAAAAGCAGAATGAGAAGTTGCCTCGCTGCAGTTTATGTGGTTTAGACACAAAAGCCTCGCTATTATGGAAATTCCACAGGAAACTTCTCTGTTACTGTCATCTAAGACTCTCTAATCCATCAACCCCTTTTCCTTCATTGGAACAATTATTTTTATAATGATTTTGCTTTCGTTTCTGTTTCTCGCTGTTACTTTTTTTAACACTGCAAAAGATGATTGCTCTCTCTCTTGAACCAGACATCAAACCGCACACCAGGATCTGTGTAAAAGCTGCATTCTGGTCACAGACAACAGTACACACTGTAGCTCATTTCAACCCTTATTTTTCAAAGACAGCTCTGAGGGGCTGCTTACCCTGCTGCCTGCCACACATGGGTCCCTTCTGCCTGCACTGCTTTAACAACAAGCAACATAAAGGCCTTTCCTGAGGGTGCAGCCAGAGCATTTAGAAGACAGGCTCCGTCCTGGGCTCAGGACACAAGACATGGAAGCCACAGGTACCCTGCAGCCCTGCTGAAACTCACAGCTGAGAGTCACATGAATGAGCAAATGCAGCCTGGAGCCATTGCTTCAAAGGAAAATCCCAGGGGCTGAGAGTGAATATAGGAGAGCAAGTGAGCTCAGCGCCCCTGGGGAGGCCCATGTTGATGAAGCCAGGGAGGAGAGAGGACTAAGCCAGAGCAGAGGGTCCAGGCAGAGGGAAGAGCCTACGCAGAGGCCCTGAGGACCCCAGGAGCCTGCGAGTCTCAGAGAGGCCTGCCATGCTTAGCAGAAGCAGCTGAGTTAGGCAATAGTCCTTTCATATTCAAGGCCAGTAGAGCAAAAAGAATGAATCTCCCTTATGAAGGCCTTTCCAATGGGTCATTCTCCAAACTGGGACACCAGGTGTATCTACCGCCATCCCTTTGCTTGTGAGCAGCCCGCCTGCCATCAGGGTGGGCATACCAGGAAGTTAAGTCCATCACGAGGGTAGGCCCCTCACTGGCTCAGCACCCGGCTAAGGCCTGCCCCTTGTCTTGAAATTTCATACCCTTTTTTTCCTTCAAATTTGCATAAAGTTCATGCCCCACCAAAACAGGATCCGCCCAGTTAGAACTCGGGACTTGTGGCTTCACATCCAATACAACTGTAGCGCTGTCTGCTGGGGTGGGGTCCGGACTACACAGAGGGAGAACTGTTTTGAATTCAGCAAAGCAGGATGGGAGGGAGGGTCCCTCGCATTCTCAGGCCAGTTTATAGTAGGAGAAGCCAGAGGACTGGCAGGGTCATCCTTCCACGCCTGAGAAACTTGTTTCTCAGTAGTCCTGCTCTGGTTCCTCCCCAAGTCTCAGGAGGACCCTAAACATCACTTTCGGTTTCCAGCTCACACACAGGAACTCTTGCTTTTACAAAGTTCATTGTCTCCAACTCAGTCTCCCCTCGTGAGGAGCACACTGGTGTGCACTGTTCTACCACGATAACTTGTTTCCAGTTCACTTATCAATTGCTAACCAAACCTTTTACTAAAAGTCCCACTCATCTTTCTTACTCATCCAGTGTCTAATCTCTTTTTTTTTTTTTTTTGACTTGGCCTTTCCAAGAAACTTCACGGCTAGAAATGCAGGATATGGGTATAAGAGGCAGGGGCTCGGGTCTCAGAAAAGGGGCTCTGCATTGCAGAAAGTGGCCTGTTGGGGCATCCAGCCTGATGCCTCTGTGCTGGGATTTGTCCAGAACTTCCTAGCCCAAGAGATGGGAAGACCTACTTCTACGATTGTGGGTACAAATGTTGGGCTCCTGGTCCATGCTCAGCAACTAATTTCCAAGTGAATAAGTACGTTACCCAGAAAAATGAGTTCAGACACTGAGACAGCCAGTGGACTGATAATCATCACAGCAAACAATCACAGTACTTGCTGCTGTGTAAGACCTATCATTTCCCCCCAGAAGGTATTCTGATATTACTGTCTAATGCATACAAATGATGGTCCATCACTAAGGATTCAAAATGGATTTTGCTTAATGTCAAAAAGGAAATTCACCACTTTGTCACCGTGTATCTACTGTAGGCTGTGCTCATGTAGACCCGATAGCATTCTTCCCTTTTCAAAATGTCACCCAGATTACTTTCAATAAACCTACAATGAAAAGTACTTTTCTGTCACCACCTCCACCCCCAGCAAAAGTCCCTGTGAAGGAGATGCTAGGCAGGGTACCCCATCCTGTGGAAGGAGGAAGTGCTATGTTCCAGCAGAGCTGGTGCTGGTTGGCCCTAGAGGCTCCTGAGAACTCCGTGAGTCTTCTCCACACACTACAGATCTGGGGACCACAGGCCCAGGACACATCAGGGGAGTCTGATAGCAGCCACTGTTCATGCGCCTCCTCTCGCCTCACTGGAGAAGGACCCAGAATGAGCCCATTTTAAAGACAGGCAGATGAATGCTGGTGGACATAGGCCCGACCCTGTAGCCGGATGGTGTGGGTTCAGTTCACAGGTCCCCATTTCTCAGAGGACAGCATTGAGCATGGGGGCCAGCCAGGTATGAGGACAGAAGTGTGTGGCTTGGCCCTTGGGTCCCTCAGGCTCTTGCTGCCTTCTCCGGGGAGGGCAGTCCTCAGCATGCGCTGCACTGCCCCGAATGTACAGTGTCCCTAGCAGAAGTCTCCACAGCCTTGCAACCCCAGCCCAGGGCTGCCTTTCTGCTCCTCGTGAACCACAACACTCCTCTGCTTGTTTCCCAGGGCTGGAGAGTGATTTCCTGGCTGTGCTGAGTGATTACCCATCTCCTGATATCAGTCCCCCGATATTCCGCCAAGGGGAGAAATTACGCGTGATTTCTGAGTGAGTTAACTTTTAAAAACTTTATGATCCCCAAGACAGGATGAACTCATCATGAGTGTCGTTTGGGTTTAATCATTACATTTTTAGCCACAGTTGCCCAGTTCTTCCCACACCCTGGTCCTACTGCAAGGTGAGAAATTTGGCTCAAACTGTAACCTCCACCCCTTTTTACTACTAGCGCTGTAAAACCTTCAGTGCCTTCCCATGGCCTGCTGGATAAAATTTAAATTCTTTCACTTGCCTGTAAGACCCTATGTGGTCAAAGCTCTGCTTTTTCTATTGGCCCACCTCCCCCGTACATCAGCGGAACAGCACATCTCAGTGCAGCCTGGGAAGGAGAACCCAGCGTCTGAAAAAACTTCCGATGGTGAGCAAATATTGCCTACCGTTCCTGCCACCTCTTCAGTCTGATTCCAAACAGTCCATAGAACAAAGCAGAGGCTCCAAGCCCTTTCCCTTTGGTCCTCATTGATAGGGTCACATGAGACTATCCAGGGTATAAATCAACACTATAAACAATTCTTTTTAAAAGCCTCCAAAAATGAAGCAACAGTTAAAAACATCAGCTTCTGGACCCTGAAAGGCAGCTACTGACGCATTTGGGTACCTTGCCACGGAGAGATGAGAAGATGGGTATCTATGCCTTGAAAAAGAAAGTTTTAGACATTGAGGTCAACATGGCCAATAGCAGATCCTAAAAGAGGAGTGTCCCAAGCCCCCAAGGGCTAGGTCTGTTAGCTCTGCTCATTTGTCCTTCACTTTGCCATTTACCTCTCCCGGTCCTGTCTGTTCTGCCCTAACAGTGAAGGAGGCTGGTGGAAAGCCATTTCTCTCAGCACCGGCAGAGAGAGTTACATCCCTGGAATCTGTGTGGCCAGAGTGTACCACGGGTGAGTGCATTTCTCAGATGGCCGCATTAAGTCATGGTGTCTATGCTGAGGGCTCCTGGTGGCAGAGATTCTAGCACAGTGCAGCAGGAAGGGAGGCACTGGGTGGAGGTGCACTCCCACTTCCATCCCGTCCATGGGGAATGATGGGATGTGGATGAGTCCTTTCTACTCTTTGGAATGGGCTTCCTCAGGGGTGAAATGAAGGAAGCTGGGCCTTTCAGCTTGAACACCATGCTCCTGGTGTCCAATGGTCAAGGCCACTTGATGCTTAAGGACTGTTATTATAGGATGTCGCACACTACAGTGGCTAAAGCCAGTTGGCCTGGGTTCAAATCCTGCCTCTGTCACTCACTGCCCATGTGACAGTGAACAAGCTATTCAACCTTCTATGTGCCATCAGTTTTCTCCTCTTCACTGCCAAGTAGAGAGCAAGATACTATGTAATACATTAATGGAATTGGCATTCCCACATGGCTGTTACTGTCTTCATCTTTGTATAAGGGCTTGAGTGCATAAATGTTTGTCACTCACTCTAAAGTAACTAACATCAAATGCGCTATACAGCACCAAGGGAGTACCTGACATATCTGGCCAAACATGGCACAATCGTGACCTTAACAGTGAAAGTGATTCAGTGATGAGAACACAGTAAACAAGTGGAACCTGGCGCTGGGGCTTGAGTCTTCTCACACCTGCTGCTTCTGGGGCACTCAGCCAGTGCCTCACTGACCTCTACCTGCTGTGCGCCCTGGCCAATGCCACAGGCTGCAATTGGGCAGGGTATTAGTATTCGCTACATATACACAGATTTGAAACTGTGGATGAAAAGCCAGGATCCATTCCCTGAAATACAGCATCTGTTAACAAGCGATTTGCGATTGCTCCCCAGTAGACGCCAGCCACTTGCTAACAAAGTGCTTCCTGCCAAACTCAGAGCTGGCAGACCCTGGTCTGAAAAATGAGTAGCGGCTCTTTCACTCAGAACAGAGATTCTTTTGAGTTCAGCACAGCTCCCTAAGAGCGCTCACAAGTGTCAGGTCCCCTTCCCGAGTGGATCTGCCCTCAGAAAGCAGGGCTTCAGGGGCACAACTGCTTTTTCTTCCTATTAAGTGAGAAAAGCAAGAAGCACTAATTCAGGCATGGCACAGTGATGAGTGTGTTCAAATGTGTCGGACCCGAGAAGGCTGAGGAAATAAAACGAACGGGGAGTGGAGCTTGTTCCGTCGGTGAAATCATGGACCCCCTTCCTCCCCTTCTGTCTTGTGTTCACTGATTCACTCGTAACATCCACCACACACAGCACCCTGGATACCACAGCAAGACAGACGGCGGGGAGACGCTATGCTCGGGCAGCGCAGCTCACATTAGACAAATTGCCACACGGGTACACAAGGCACTAATGCACACACATTACTGAACATGACAGAGCTGCTTCCATTTGGGACTTGAGACACAAGCCAAGAAAGAGGGCTGCTGCATCCTATGTCATTTCCCCCGGCATGTGGCAATTAACAGACACCTGGGAAATGTTATTTAAAGATGGAAAACACGAATGAAGGAATGAATGAACACTGCTCATTAGCAGCTCATGCCACTGGACTGCAGCTTTATATTCTCTGCATGCTAATGGCATCTTGGCTTCCATAGGCTGGCACACGGGCTGCTCACACTGTCTCTCCCCTTCCCAGCTGGCTGTTTGAAGGGCTAGGCAGAGACAAGGCTGAGGAGCTGCTGCAGCTGCCAGACACGAAAGTGGGCTCCTTCATGATCAGAGAGAGCGAGACCAAGAAAGGTGAGCAGCCTGTCTCTCCACATTCGGCCACAGCAGGCTCTGTTCTGCTGACTTGGGACAGGGCTCCGTTTCCTCTCCTGCTCTGTGTACACAAACGGGCCATATGGTCAGCCGCCTGTGACCCTACCTGCCTGGAGGCCAGCATCACACCAAAGGTCTTAGAACAGGGGAATGGGGTTGGCTGGGAGCGGCCCCAGGCCCTAAGCGTGACTGTGGGCAGGTCCTGCTGGTCCTGTTGGAGAATTTCCACCAACCGAGAACAAAACCCAAAGCCAGGGCATGGCATGCTGGGACAGGCCTGTCCCAGATCTGTGGCTTCTTTGACCTGTCTCCTCATCTGTGACATGGAAGGAAAGGCCCTCCCTTATAAGGTTGTGGTGAGATTCAAAGGCAGTGATATTTGTGGGCTCTTGTGGTGCAGGGGCCCTAGTATCAGTCCCCTCTGTGCCTGCTGTGAGACAGCCTAAGGTGAGACCAAGGAGATGTGAGCTCACACACTGCTGCAGTCTTCATCCTCACAGTCGCCTGCGCCACTGGAAACAGAAATAGCGGGGTCTTCTCCATGAGCGAGAGCCCAAAGCATTGTTTCAGCCGTGAATCACTAAGCCATTTCCTCGGTTCCCCTTCCTAGGGCCTGGGGTTGACAGTGGGATGATCCTTAGTGCCATGCCTGGGTCAGTCGCAGGAGCAAAGCACTGCACAGCGAGGACCCTCCCCTACTGAGTACTCATAGCAACAACTACTTAAGTATAGCACCCGTTTTTGAGTTCCCAACCAGCTCCTTGTTCCCTTGCTGTCAAAAAAGAGAAAACAGAGTATTTAAGAGCATTCTTCAGGCACCTACTAAGTGCCAGGGCCACTTGGCATTGGGGCTGTCACCAAAATGAGCCCAGCTTGGCTTTGGGGCAGCAGGGACTTACTTGTGACTTTTGGAGGCCCAGAACAACTTTCTATGAATGGCCTGAATATGCTGGGGGAGCACAAGCTCAGAGCAGAGGATGAACGCTGTGTGTCTGTCCCCCAGGGACTGGAAGAAGGACACCAGACAGGCTGGTGCCACTGAGAAGTGAAAGGACCCCTTAGAAGGACACAGCTCATCTAAAAATAATGGTTTTCTAAGGCAGAGCTGCAGTGGGGTGGGCAGGGAGGCAGCAGCCCCCACTTCCTGGGGTATGCAAAGTTCTGAAGATTTTCCACTCACTGCGCTTGACCCGCCCAGTGTGGGCCACTTCCACGTAAGTGACGAGAAGTCACTCAGTGGTGGCTTCGCAGGGCAGGCTTGGGCCTGGTGAAGTCTTCCCTGGAGAGGGCCAGGGGCAGGCAGAGGAAGCGACCGGGGACACACCAGGCTTCGGTCCCTGAGCCACAGCTTCTCCGTCTCTAAGCTATTTGGCACAACCTCTCCCAGGTCCCTCCTGAGAATGAATGAGAGGTTGTTTGGAAGCAGCCTGGCCCCTGCCCAGCACAGGAGGCCTGGACTTAGTGGATGCTGGCTTCTTCACCCCTCGCCACCTCCTGGGGTGCTTTCATTCCTGGAACCCCACAGTGTGTGTGCTGGGGGGGCCATAAGCATGTTAAGTCCAAGCCTCTCTTTTCCACTGGAGGAGATCCAGGCTAGAGGAGGTGACAGTACCTGCCTGGCCCTCACTGACCATCGGGGGTCAGGACTCTGGTGACGCTGAGGGAGAAACGATGCTTTTCACGCATTTCCTAGGGATCCCCGGAGCCCTGTCCTGAGCGCCACTTGCTCCACATTTCTGAGACAAGCAAGCTTAAATCAGAGGAAGGAAGATCAGGAAAGGGGCCGTAGCTGTGAGCCCCCCTTAGCATGTGGCCCAGGGAGGATCTAAGAAGTGCAGAGCCTGACCCACAGGTTGTGACTGAGCTGTGAGCAGGCACGTGCCCTCGGCTGCTGCTCACACGAGGGGCCCATGTCTTTGTGCTCCAGTTCCACCTCAGTGCAGATGGGCTGGTCGCTGGCTGCCCGAGGTGGGGATCCTGAGTGCCACTAACCTGTCGCTCCCACCTTCCGTGCAGGTTTCTACTCACTGTCCGTGAGACACAGGCAGGTGAAGCACTACCGCATCTTCCGCCTGCCCAACAACTGGTACTACATCTCGCCCAGGCTCACCTTCCAGTGCCTGGAGGATCTGGTCAATCACTACTCTGGTAAGCCGTCCCCAGTGCCTGCCATCGGGGCTGCAGGATGACGTGGCGCTGTCTGCCTACAACACGGCACCAGAGCCACCAGGAAGGGGCTGTGGAGCTCTCTGCCCACCTGGCTTTTCCATAGGTTGAGGCTAAATCCCAGATTCCAGGCTGAAGCAGACAGCCTGTGAGTGCCGCCTTAGGGAGCCAACAGTACTGCATTTCACGTCCAACCCCCTCTATCCGAATCGAACCAACTAGGACCCTCCGTTCACAGCCACAGAGGGCTTGTGCCCTGAAAGTGGGCCCTGGGTTTTGATGCCTCTGGGGCTTTGTTCTAAAATGTCACTTGTTTCCCCTTTTCTGCTGGTTAAAAGGTCAACTTCAGCTCCCCCCGCCCCCCGTGACATGACAGAGCCACAGGACTTGGAGTTCGTCCTCCCTCCTCTTTGTCCCCAGAGCACACCAGTTTCTCTCCCTAGCCTAGTTAGCCCGTCCTAGTCTGTGCTTCCCAGCGAGCTCCTAGAGACTAGGGAGCGGATGTTATTCATTCCTGTGTCCTTCCTGCAGCCAGGAGAGAGGTCCAGGTTCCCCTCCCCAGGCTGCCCAGGATGGAGCATCCACCATGCCGGCAGGTTTAGGGGTAGTTTCCATGGCGTGACGTGCACAGTCAGGAGGAGAAAGGCCACTGAGACTGTGGAAGCCCCGCATGCCAGCCAAGAGCTGGGACTTTGCCCTGTAGACCCGGGAGAAGTTGGAAACAGTTGACTGAGCTTCCACACACTGGCTCGGCACCTGTGTTGATACCTTGCCCACTGGGGGCTGGGCCACTATGGGCTGGGGACCTGCCTCTTAGAGCCTCACTTTCTGCTGTGTAACTGTGCTCTACCTGCCAAGTGGGCAGGGAAGGTGACGAGTGGAAGGCTGGCTCCTGACCTCAAGTGCTTCCCGATGGCTGCCACTGACCACTGGGCAGAGGTGCCCTTGTCCCCCTCCTGCCCTGTCCCACCAGAGATAGGAAGTTGTTCTCGGTCTGCTAGCATCTTCCTCCTTCCATTCAGGATCTCTGACCTTGCACCCATGGGTACCTTGCTAGAATCCTTTAGGATTTGGAGTCTTGGATTGAAGATACAAAGGGCATTTCAAGGAGAAGGGAGCCCACACAGCTTTTGGTGACAGCCCTGGCCTACGAGAAGCAGCAGGTGACAAAGGAGCAGTGGCAGCGAGGTGAAGCAGATTTAGGCCGTGGGCACCTTGACGGAGCCCTGCCCTCTCAGAACCCCAGGTCCCTATTCCTGAAAGGCTGTAGGAACAGCGCCTGTGCAGGGGATCGCATGGGTGTTCAGCAGTCATTCATACACCACGTCCAGCATGGCCTGACACATGGTAGATATAAGGATGATGACAAATAAGACTTCTATAATACCCCAAAACCTAGCTGCTAACTAAAAATGAAAGAGGAAGGGAGTCCTGGAAACAGCCACCTTTTGCTGGGTCTCAGTAAGGCTTGCTTGTGGTATTTGGCTCTTAATAACAATCATTGAGGATTGCGCCAACCAGAAGTTTTGCATAGACAACAGCAAACACGGCGTGGAAGCCGCCCGGCAGCACTCTTACGGACTGACTCCAAGAGACTGCAAGGCCCGAGCCCCCATGGGGCTGCAGGACGCTAGAAAGAGCGCCTCTCAGAAAGATGCTCGTGGGGTGGCCAAGTCTCCGCAGATAACTGCAGGGGTCCTTTCACCACTCCCATGACCTGGAGCTACACTGTGGGCCTCAAGCCTGTGCTCCACGCTGGCTCTGGCACTGCCGGGGCACTGACTGCTGTCTGCTTTTGCCCCACAGAGGTGGCCGATGGCCTGTGCTGTGTGCTCACCACACCCTGCCTGGCACAGAGCGTGCCCCCTGCAGCACGAGCCCCCAGCTCCCCCGTCATCCTGCGCCAGAAGACCTTGGACTGGAGGAGGGCAGCCAGGTGGGTGTGTGCTTCCTCCAAGGCCGGGAGCCAGTGTGCCGCCTGCCACACTAACGGGCAGTGGCCAGGGCCAGGGGCAGCAGGCCCTGCTCAGCCCTGGGCAGGCACTGAGTGGCGGCAGAGCAGAATCCCACAGACCCAGCCTCCAGTGCCATGTGGAGCCAGCCTCGCTCGCTCGCCATGGCCTCAGTGCCCCGCTCTGCACACTGAGTCCCACTCTCGGTGTTGACACTGTCTTTCCTGCTGGAACACTCGCCACCTCTGCTCTCCTGATTGTTAGGATTCCAGAAAGTGAGGCGCAGACTCATCTGGTGTAGATTTAGTCATTCGGCACCCGCTCACCCAGCTTACACAACACCCAAATCCTAGGCCCATTCATCTTTCCTGAGAAAAGAAAAGCTTTGCGCTGACTTGCTCTGCTTATTCCACTGTCAGCTGTTGGACACTCAGGAATACGTCTGTAGTGTGTGATGGATGGGTTTTCATATTAAATGAACATGGATCCAGGCACCCCACTGGCAAATTCAAAGAAGATCAAATATTAGGATTCCCTGGAAGATGACTAAGAGTGCTCTCCCTTGTACATAGCATAAAGAAATACTCATTGAGATTTACAGTTAGAAGTTTTAGCCATCTGAGAAAACAGGGACTCAGAGAGGTTAAGTGATTTGTACAACATCACAGAGCCCCCAGAACCAGAATTAGAACAATACTGTAGAGGAAGACTAACCAGGCTTTGGGGTTGTTTTCTCTCCTTCTCCTTCTCCTCCTTCTTCTTTCTTTTCTCATTCTTTGTTCCCCCATCCCCACCCCTGTCCATGTCCCTTCCTCTGCTTCCTGCTCTTCCAACTCACAGGCTACAGCAGGACCCCGAGGGAGCAGGGAACCCGCTTGGAGTGGACGAGTCCCTTTTCAGCTATGGCCTTCGGGAAAGCATCGCCTCCTACCTGTCCCTGACCGGGGAGGACCCCAGCCCCTTTGATCGGAAGAAGAAGAGCGTCTCCCTGATATACAGCGGGAGCAGGCGCAAGAGCTCGCTCTTCTCGGCACCACAGTACTTCGAAGACTAGCCAAGGACAGGAGCGGGCTTTCACCCATGGGACAGAAGTCCCAGCTGTCTCCTAGGGTCTTCTCTGATCCCTGGGCACTTCACGCCTCCCAGAAGCCAAGAGAAGCTATGTGGAGATGCAACTCAAATCTCTCTACCCAGATGATGACCAAAGAACCTCGCTTGGCATCTTAGCAGCACTGTGACATCTTGGCAGGCTGAGTGGTGACACCGTGGGCCAATGTTTCAGAGAGCCCAGCATGTGTGCATCACGTGCGGGAGGGATGAGCACACGCTCACAGGAAAGCGCCTCTCCAACACATGGTCCAGACAGCCTGCTCCAAGTCCTCGGGAGGACTTCCGGCTGAGCAAGGCAGGGAGGAAGACCCACAAAGGCCGAGCCTCAGAAGGGTGGGGTCTGCAGATGCGGGGCCCTACATGGGCTCGGAGCTGCCCTCACTGTCTATGAAGACTTCTGGGACACAATGCACTGCCTCTCTTTTCAAGGAACCCCCAACACTACACACTAGCTTGAAGGTCTTAGTAGCTGTGCACCAGGAGGAGCCTTTGCTATTCTCGTGTGCCAACACCATGTGGGCAGCAGGGCCTTGGGAGAGAGGGAGGCTGCTGGCTGGGAAGACAGAAGTGGCTGGGAGTGTATGAGGTTCCAGGTGGCCCCAGTCATGGCCACAGTGCAAAAAGGGCTCCTCAGCTGCTGGGATGTTTGCCTGTATGAATGCACCCATTGTTTTATTCCTTCTTGATCTTCAAAAGAGTTGCTTTGTGACATCCTATGTAAGCGTGAGACCAGAAAAATACAAAAACCAAAACCCTAGACCTCAACAGAGGTTGCAGAATGGAGACGGAGAAAATGTATACAGATGACATAAAAGTGGATAGAAGACAGAAATCACCCACAGCTTAAGAAGGGGTAGGAGGTAGGTGAGGCCACCAGGACCTATTAGGGATGTAGGGTCAAGTAGGGAAACAGATTAGCTCTAAAGAATTAATTTAGCATGCATTTTATTCTAAAAAGAGTCTGGCATGAATGGGAATAAAAAATGCCGAGCTCCAGGAAAGAGGAGGCGCCTTTGTGGCTGAATCTTGCCGTGAGTTTGTGTAACTGTAAGAGATGAGGGGGAGAATGTGGGGCAGAGGAAGCAGTGTGCAGGCTGGGAAGGGAGCGGCTGCAATTCAACCATGGCTCATTCCTCCCGCTTCCGAGGGCTCTGGGGGAGGGGGCGGACGTGTATGTTATGTCGAATTTGCTTGCCACACACATTCCCTGGCCCTGTGCTCACAGCTAGTGGTACGTGCCTGTGTCCACATGGTCCTGTACCATCAGACTCCAGGCTGTTTACACGAGGAGCCATGTGAAATTCCATAATAACCCCGAGACTGCTCCAAAAGGACCAGTGTGTGAGGAATGACTGCAGCAGGACAGTGGTGTCCACCGGCCGGGCACCCTCTGGGCTCTGACGTCTGCCCAGCACCCTCTGCATTGTGTTCTGTGACCACTGAGACCAGAACCTTTGGAGAGCACTGCGGGGTGGGGGTGGGGTTGTAAGTAAGTGGGAAGCATTACACTTCTTTGCTCAATCATGTATTTATTCCTGATTAATGTAAGCCTAATAAATATTTAACCCTTGGAATGGGGGAGCCTCTGGATTGAGGCAAATGGTTCTTCCTGCCTCATTCTGGGTTTGGGATTTTCAAGGAACCAAGCAAAGGCAGGGACAGCACAGGTAGTGGCTTGGCAGCTTCCCCCGGGGCAGCCCAATGAGTCTTAAGCAAGTGTATCTTGTGTCTTCTCACATTGAAAGGCAGGGTGGGGGCTGAGGGGCCAGATTCTTGGCTACCATCATTAAAATTCTACATCTCCACGTTTCTTGTGCTCTCTGAGCTGCCTGTCCTTCAAAGAATTCCTTCCTATGAGGTTTCTTAGATACTTATCAGCCTCATGGTGCTCTGGGCGCTGGGCTGAAGCCCTGGAAATCAGATGGGGCCTCTGAGATCATGGAGCTTGGGGCCATAAACAATGGGACACTTTGCCACCACGGGGAGTGACAAGTGCAGAAATGGGCAGGTGCCATGCAGCCGCAGACAGGTGAGAGACTCTAGATGGATGCTGCGGAAAGGCCTAAAAGAGGAGCAGCACACAGTCCGAGGAGATCTAGGAAGGTGGCAGAAGCAGTGGGGACCTAGGTCAATTTCTGCAGGCTCCGAGGGCAGGGCGGGGCAGCAGGCCTCAACTGGGATAGGAGGGTGCCCTCAGGAGGGAGGCCAGCAGGGCACAGGGGCCCCTGGAGGGGAGGGTGCTTCGGGCTGCTCTAAGAAACACAGGGAGCCATGGGAGGATCTAAGTAGGGGGTGGTAACATCTCATTCATAAGTCTCGAAAGACACCTGGCTGCTGGGTGGAGGATGTGCTTTTAAAATTCAGGCATTCTATTACCTACTTGCCACACACCTAAAACAAAAAGATGCAGGGACTGTGGAAAAAATTTCAAGGAAAAAATGAACAAAAGGAAAATTTGCACTGCATATTGAAGCACAATGCAATTTCAGGTGAAAATAAATTCTCAAAGGGTAAAGAGAAATGCCACACAGCAATCTGTTGAGGAGGTAGGATGCTTGCAGCCTGTGCTGATCAAATGACGCAGTTCCAGAATATGTTGTGCAACTATTATAGGGACAAATGGATAAATCAGTAACTTCCTGTGAAGTTTTTAATATACAGCTCCCAGAAACTGCTAAACGGGGATAAGTAAATAGAGAGGTCTATAGATTTTAATAACATTACATAATTTTTCTGCCAGTAGATGACAGCCCATTAGGTGAGAGAGAGAGCCATGATAAATGTCGAGGAATCACAGACTTGGACTCTGCTCCAGGATCACAAGGCAACACAAAGAGAAAACTGTGCAAAGCAATGGATAAAACTTCAGTGAATCTAGAATCTTTGACAAAATTCTTCCAATTAAGAAAATAATGCAGGAATAATAACGTACTTAGAAATACATGACATAATTTCACTTTTCAAAATTTCTGGAGCTAATAAAATAGTAGAATTTTATTGCTTGAAATGCAGCACATTGATTAGCAAAGGAGAACTGGTAATGAGGTCAGCTTCCAACTGAAGAGCTAAGAGAACATCACACAAGCCAGGAGACAGGAGAAAGTAGATGCGGGTGATAATGATTTAGAGTTTTTAATACACACCATAGAGAAGATTTAGAAAACCAAACATTGTCTAAGTAGTAAGATTAATGTGACAGCTAAAGACATGAACAGTACGGTGATGAAACAGAGGAAGAGGGCAAAAGCAAACCGAAGGCAGCTCTGCTAGTACAGAGGTCTGCAGGAGAGTGTGGGCTCTGCAGTGGCCAAGGACAGCAGGGGTGGCCTTCCTCCCTGTCTGTCCTCTCCCTGCTGTCTGGAGCCCTCCTTGCTGCAGCCCAGGCTCAGCCCTGTGGATGGGGCCAATGGCCTAAGTGCTGTCATATTAAAGCCTAGAAGAAACCAGGGCCCTGGCTGAGAGGAGTCACCTGGATTGTTCCCCCATGCTATGAGAAAGAGAAAGAGAAAGAGAGAAAAATGCTTTTTACTTTTTACTTTTGAAGCTTTTTGGTGTCGGGTCTCCTGGTTGCAGCAGCTGGGCACTTTGCTCTAATGGGTACAGAAATAAACCTGCCCTCATCAACAGAGGCAAGTTCACAGAAAGCCCGAAGGAGCAATCAGCGTAGTATTACACTTGTTCAGAGAACTAACTCAGTGAGCTCCCACCTCAATGGATTCCTGTGTACCAGTAGTCACAAACTGGGATACAGCACAGAAAATGACACCATGCACAATGCCAGCCAAACCATGACATGTGCCGGAGGTGTGGCTGATTCACAACCACTACACAAAACTTTCATGGAAAAACATTCAAGACCCTGTGAAAAGACCTTCGGAAGTAAAATACTCTGTGCATGGTTCTGCGGTTAACCTCTTTCATGGAGGCAAGTCTGCACATCAGAAAAGTATACATTATTTTAATCTAAAATTCATAGATAAATTCCATGAAACAATGCTCAAATTCCCACAAGGAATACTGAAACAGAATGAACCTCAAAAAGCTTATTCTAAAAGACACACAGGAGTGCTAGCTAGGCCAATTTGCATAAGGCCAGCCCAAGGGAGATGCGCACACTGAGCCACGCAGCCAGCAGCATCAGGCAGTGCAGGAGACAGATAGCCATATCCCCACTGTTCCCACCATGCATGGAGCTCAGCCCTGCGGCCCTGCAGTGGGTTCTGGGTGCCTCCCGGCAAGCAGGGGCTGGGCTCAGTGCTGAGGAAGTGCTAAGAGAATTACACTCAGTAAGGGTCCAACACCCAGCCACAGCAGAACTGGAACCAGCCATGTTAGAAAAATACCAAATAGAAAACAGGACAGAATTCCTAAAACCTTCCACACAGAAGTCTGCTTCTCAAGCTGGGATTCCTGCTGGGTTTTTTGTTTTTGGTACCGGGGATTGAACTCAGGACCTTGCGCTTGTGAGGCAGGCAGCAGAACCACTGAGCTAAATACCCGGGCTGATTCCTGCTGTTTTGAGAGCCGGGGAAAGGCTTGGAGGCCTAGTTTTCATTGCTACCTGAAAGATGGAGTGACCGTAGAGCTGGCGCTGGACATGCTGAGCACAAGACAGGCTGAAAGGCCCAGAGGAGGGGTGGCATTTCCTAGGTGTGGAGTGAGCCAAGTTCTGCCTGGGGGCCCTGGACGGTGCCTTGGAAGTAGTGCAGAAAGGTCAGGGTGATGTTATGGGGCACAATGGAATCACTGGACCCCAGAAATCACACCACAGAGCGCATGCCCACCTCTGTCTTCTCTTGAGTTCAAGAAAAGCTCACAGTCCAGAATCCCAGGTTACACGCTTGCAACAAGTCACCCTGCCTTCTCCTGCCACCTGGCCACAGGGCAGGTGAGATATTCCAGGACTTGTTTCCCAATGCACAGGCCGCTTTGCAAACCTTAAGACATGACAGCTTCACCACACCTCAGGAGACAGACCTAATCATCCTGACCTTAAGGCACAGAATGCAAAGTGAAGGCTGTGCTCAAAGGCTAGGATCTTCACGCGGGCCTCGCTGATCCCAATGTTGCATTTATTCTTTTTCAACTTAAGACCTGAGGAGAACCTCAAATTCCTGGAGAAGATGATTCAGAGAATGGGAAAGTACAGGACTTAGCTTTAGGGTTTTTATTGTGTGCTCTTTGACAGGTCACTTAACCTCTCAAAAGTCATATCACTGGATTGAAGACCCCCTGCCAGTCAATATGAATGATCTATACCGAAGATGTTTTGTGGCCTCAAATGTTTTAAATGAATATAAGCTATTGATTATTTCCACAGACATTTCTCTTGACTAATGTTTCACCAGTTCTAACCCCAGGCTTTGCAGGCACTTGAGATTTTAGTCAACAAAAAAATTATCAACTTGAGTTCATTTCCCAAACATCTGTCAGTAAAGAACATATTTAAGAACTGCTAATACATTGAAGTATTTTAGTGCTCTCTATTCCAAATAATTTCACATGCATCCCAAGGACTTTGGGAGCCATTGTAAAAGCTGCTTCCAAGTGAGTAAAACAGACGGAGGGTTTATTTTTAAATACACTGCCATTTGTTAAAACAGATTAGCTTCTGAAATTCCTCAGACACCTAAATCCTCAAAAAGAAAATCTGCCTTCTGAGCCTGTTGGAAGATATGTAGGCATCTTCCAGGTCCTAGTGAGCAGCTGATTGCTGATCAGATGCTGGAGAAATCTTCCAGGATCAACTTCGGGCAGGAAGTTCTGCTTTTAACACCAGCCAGTAAAAGATGTTTGGGCTCAAATCTCCTGCCATTTCCACTGACCGGCTTCAGGACAGGGGAAGTAAATCAGAATCAAAGGATACAAAAGGGATGACTTACAAGAAGGGGTCTGGACTGGCCCGTGGGTCCGGGGCTATCTGGGACAGCATCAGGACACCTGCCCATCACCTGCTCGCTAGCAGACCTGGGCACTGTGGAGCAGCCTCTGCTTATTGCAAGGTGTGTTGTGTGGGTACCCAGGGCCCTGTGGAGAGCAGGGCACGTTGGTCCCTGCCGTCCTGGGGATTGGTCCTTGAGGGAGGTCAACTCGACACTAAGAGCAGTTAGTTACCAACAACATCACAACGAAAGCAGCACAGGAGAGATTTGGGCAGCACAAGTCAATAAAGGGTCCAGCTCCAGGCTGAAAAGTCGAGAAAGCTTTACCTAAATGACAAGTAGACAGGTGAAGAGGAAGACAGGAGAAAGGCAGCCCATGCCAAGGAAACTGCCTATATGGGGCAGAGCACACAATGAATCTAGGGTTTCCCGGGCTGAAGGAGGCAGAGTGGCAGGTGGCTCTGCTTCCTGTTGGGAATGGCAACAATGCTAATCTAGCATCAGCTATGGCTATACAATGACCCTTCATCTTCCCTCCTTATAACCAACGCTCTGGGTCCCAGGAAGCCAGGCGAGGTGGGGTGTGGTGGCATGGTCTGAGAACTGCTAGCAGGTCACAGAGGGATTCAGCCCATGGACTTGGTCTCGATGATCCCCTGTCTCCTTATCTCGGGATACTTCCTGGTCTCCCCACAGCTTTCTCCACCTCCAGCATTGCCCCTCTGAAAATCGTTCTCCATCCAGGTCTCACGGAGGTCTTCCAAAGAGCAGCTCCAGGCAGTTTTCTCACTTGCTTCAAAGGCCTTTGATGCCACACCTGAGTTCAGGGCAGCACTATTCACAATAGCCAGCGTGGTCGGGGTGGGGAGACCCGGACGTCTATCAGTAGATGAATAATAAATGAACAAGACATAGTCTGTGCACACAGTGGAACAGTCATCAGCCATAAAATGGAAGGAAATTCTGTAACAGGCTACACTCCGGAAGAACCTTGAAGACATTCTGCTAAGGAAAAGAAGCCAGGCGCAAAGGGGTAATCTCATATAATTCCACTAATTTGAGGTACCTAAAACTGGCAATTCATAGAGACAGAAAGTAGTATAGGATTTTCCAGGGGCCAAGGGGATAAGGAGAATGAGAGATAATGTTTAATAGTTTCAGAATTTCTGATTGGGATGAGGAAAAATGTCCTGGTAATGGACAGTGCTGATGGTCACGCTACACTGGGAATGTACAGGATGCCACGAAATCAGTCGTAAAAATGAGTAAAATCATAAAATGAAACAAACAAACAAAACCCTTTGCTGGCTTCTCGTGCCTTGGGATGAACCCCCAGCTTCTTGGGGAACTCTGGCTCCGCTCTCCTACACCACTGCCCACCAGGCTTGGCCTCCACTCTTTCCCTGAGGCCACTCTGCCTGCAGGCGATGTCCACAGCCTGCAGCACTGAGCTCAAATGGCCCCTTACCAGGAACCTTCCTTCACACTTCCTTCCCCTGAGGCCTTCTCTTGGGGCTGCCCTAAGATACTCTTCTGCTTCAGCATTTATAACCCTGTTCCAGTGACTACAAGCCTCCTATGAACTGGGCATGCATTATTTAGTCTGCAATTTCCAGTACCTAGCAAGTACCCCGACATATCAGATGCTCAGTGAAGTTTAAAGCTAGTCAATGACAGGACAACAGATGTTAGGGCTTATGCTCAGCCAACCAAGCTATTTCTGTGGTCACAACTGCTGTTATCATCAACATCGTGTCATCATCACCTCCGTCACCAGCACCATCATCACCTTATCATCATCCAGCGAGCACTTCTAACCATCCGGTAGAATCCTGATTCATGAGCTCTGTTCTTGGCCTCCATTCACTGACAAGAACATCCAACCCTAGCGAGGGTCTCCCAGGGGACAGGACACTTAGCCATCTAGCATTTCTAGCACTTTGCACATGAGCAGAGAGCAGTCAGAGGAGCCCTTCAGGATCCTGCAACCACAAGGATCCGGAAAGAAGGAACCAAACTCACCACAAAGGCTAAGAAAAGAGCAAGCAGCGGAGACCAATGGGTCTCCCAAGGCAGGGAGAGCCTGGAGGGCAGAATGATGGCAGGGCGCTCCACTCACCATCAGCAGGGCCCTCCGGAAGAGCCTGGGGCCCGTGGCCCTGGTCATAAGGTGGATGCTGGCCACATCAGCCCCATCACGATCGGCTGCCAGGGACACGCGCCGAGGGTCCCCGCCAAATGCGCCAATGTGGCTCTGCACCCAGGTCAGAGCTGCCACCTGGTCCAGCAGTCCCCAGTTGCCCGTCAGCTCACTGGACCCTGGAGAAAAGCAGAAAGTGATTTACTTTCTTTGATTTCGCTACTTTGAATCTACCAATCATAGTGCTGCCTGTGCCAGGCATGGGGCTCCTCCATGGGCTCTGGGTACTTGTTCCCTAGGTCAGGACTGCGGGCTCCACACACACTGAGGGAAACCGGAAGGACCAGGGCTGTGGAATAAGATACAGCCTGGCTTGCACTCTAAATCTAGGCTTTGCTAGCTGCTGCAGGAGACCTTGAACCTGTCAGCCCCTCTGAGCTGCAGCTTTCCCATTTGTGATGGATGAAGGCCACTCCTAGGCTGCTGCTTAGGTCAGTGGCAGTCCATGCTGAGTCCCCACCTGGATGGTCCATCAGAGGGGAGGACATGGTCCTGCCTGGTCTCTTACTATGGCAGGTAGCTCTCTCCAACGTCACCCAGGCCAGACGGCACTGTGACCCCAGTCCTTCCCCTGGCCTCATCCTCAGGCCTTGAAGATCAAGCTTTTTCCTTTTCTTATAGAATTAATAAGTATCTGTTAAAGATCTTGCACTTTTTAAATAAAATGATTCAGACACAACATGATTATTCAGGTACAGAATGTAATTTTTCCTATTTAGAATGTAATTATTATGTACCTCAAACATATACTAATAAACTATGTACTGATAAAAAATTAAAAATTAAAAATTAAAAGCCCCTGAAACTGTGTATCTATTAAACAATAACCCCCTTTTGAACTGCACCTGTCCCTGGCAACTACCCTTCTACTTTCTGTCTATGAATTTGACCATTCTAGGTAACTCATGTAAGTGGACCTATACAGTAGTGTGTGTGTGTGTGTGTGTGTGTGTGTGTCTTATTTAACTCATATAATGTCCTCAAGGTTCACAACAGCATGTGGTAGCATGTGTCTTGAGTTTTCTTCCTTTTTAAGGCTGAATAATATTCCATGTATGCACATGACACATTTTGTTTATCCAATCAGGCGCCAATGAGCAAGTGTCTGGCTTCCACCTCTTGGCTGCTGGAGGCTAAATAATGAAGTGAATAACGGTGCTGAGATCAAAGTGTACACCATTTCCTTATCTTTGGGGGGCATTTTATTTTATTTTTTTTAAAGAATGGCCAAAATGTTACTCAGAGTACAAGTCATAGACAAAAAAGAAACAGATGATAGCAGAAACTTTCTTCTCAATGAACTAAGAGAAAATAGTAGTATAAATGAAACAAATTAACATATATATTCAAATATTTTTGAAACAACTGAATAGAGGATTGGGTGTATTTTTTCAATTTCTCTCTACTATTTTGCTCTTTATACAGCATATGTATGTATTTTGAGCTTCTTATATAAGAGAAACCATGAAGTATTTAGCTTGTGTGTCTGACTTGTTTCACTTAACATTATGTTATGTTTTCAAGTTGTATCATTTGCCTACAAATGCCTCAAGTTTATTTTTCTTTATGGGAGAGTAATACTCCATTGTGTGTAAATACTGCATTTTCTTTATCCAATCATCTGTTTATGGACATACATGCAGTTTCCAAGTTCTACCTATTACAAATTGTGCTTCTATAAACATGGGTGTGTGTGCACATATCCCTGCAATATGATGACTTTAACTCTTTTGGGAAGATATCTAGAAGGGGAATAGCTGAGTCAAATGGAATTTCTGTCTTTAGTTTTTTAAGAAATCTCCCCATTGATATCTATAGTGGTTGTACTAGTTTACATTCTCAGCAACAATGCAGAAGAGTTCTATTTTCCTACAGCCTCACCAGCATTTATTATTTTTAGATTTTTTTGATGACTGCCATTCTTTCCAGGGTAAGATAGTATCTCAACATAGTTTTAATTTGTGTTTCTCCTATGGCCAGTGATGTTGAATTTTTTTTATGTATTTATTGGTCATCTTTACTTCTGAGAAGTTCTATTCATTTCAGTTGTCTATTTTTTGATTGGCTCTTTTATCTTGGGAAAGTCTAATTTTAGTTTTTAGTTCTTTATATTCTAGATGTCCAGCTCCATATATCTCTAAACTAAATAAAGTAAACATGGGTCAAAGATTCAAAAATGTACTAAAATAAAATAAAACGGATCGAACATCTAAATGTTAAAATAGAAACAATCTGCTGAAAGATAAAATAGCTAAAACTCTTGAAAACATGGGTATAGGCAAGGACATTTTATTTTGGCAAGGACTTTCTGAACAGAGAACTCCAATGGCACAAGAAATAACACCAAGAATCAACAAGTGAGATCTTATCAAATTAAAATTCTTTTGCACATCAAAGGAAACAATCAACAGAGTGAAGAGACAACCTACAAAATGGGAAAAACATTTTGCCAGCTCTTCCTCAGACAGAGGGCTAACATCTGGTTTACTTATCTTTAAAGTAGGGATGAAAGTAACACTTATCTCATGGGGAGTTTGTGGAGAAGTAAATTAGCTAATAAGAATTTAACACAAAGCTGCATGAAACAACTGCCAAACGGATTTCAGTTATTTTTATTGCATGTAAGTGAGAAGGCTAGAAATAGGCCTGGGTAGGAGAAACACAGGGCCTGCATGTGGTCCTGGTGCATTGGAATGTAAGACTAGTAATGATCACCCACAAAAGAAAGAAATGATAAAAATAGAGTGAAAACAGATGGTTCTCCTTGGCTTTTGGGGACATTCCATGCCACTGCTTCCTGAGTGTCCTGTGAGTTTGGTGCATCCTCCCCGTCAATCTTCTCCATGAATTTGTTCTCCATTGAACTCTGGCTCCCCAGGCCTCACCACGGCTTCCTCTGAGACTCACTCCTTTCCTGACTCTACCCTCAGAGCCCTTCCAAGCCCATGGCTCCCACCACCACTGCACCCAGGTGACTCTTGGCTATAGGGCAGCAGCCCAGGGCATGCCCTAAGATCCAGAGCCTGCAGAGATCTCCACAAGCCACCAGGCATGATGGACAGAATGCAGCATCAAACAAGTCTCCATATAACAGAAAAAGACAGAAAAATCCTGCATGGTAATTGCCAAATCCTGAATTCACAAAGCTGAAGAGAACAGCAGCTCAGAGTTTCTAACAATACAAATCACTCTTCCAGCTGGAAAGACTCAGAATTTCTTCAAATGCTTTTCCCGTTCTAGGTCTGGTGAAGCCATTGACTCGACATGATCCTCACCATGAGTTTTCTGCATCATCCCTGTGCTCCATTTTTCAGGGTGCAAATGTGTGCTTCCTCCAGGTCTCAGGCAGCTCAGGAGAGCAAAGTGCCAATTGAGTAAGACCAACTGCTGCAAGTCTGCAAAGGGACATTCATGGCCCGCAGTGCCAGTAACAACGGTGAGTAGGGATGTCCCTGACACGCATTTCCCATGTGTCAACTTCCCACTATGTTATAAGAGGATGCTGATGACATTCTGAGATCCACAGCCTCCTAGAAGGTCAGAGTGGGTTGTTCAAGAGGACACCTGTCTCACAAGGATGAAAGGGGCTTCCTCTGGAGCCAGGCACTGCTGAGAGACGGACAGGGAGGATCCCAGCCACAGGACACACAGCCTAGATGCACACCGGAAGGAAGAACCAACAATAGTGGCATGAAGCCCTCTGCTTAGCCCTTTACTGGTGAAGAAACAGAACCTTGTGAGCGAAAGACTTTGTTTAGACCTGTGTTCTAAACTATAGATTCAAACACACACACACACACACACACACACACACACACACACAATGCTCCTGCTGAAGCCCACCCCCATCCAAACCGGGCAGGACCAGAGAGGTCTCACTGGGCTGGGCAGGAGCTGTGGCCCATTAGGGAAACAGGTATGAATACGAGGCTTCTGGACATCGTATTACCCATATCATCACTGTCTCGGTCTCCATCTGCCCCACTTGCCCTGCATCTCCTGGTTCCCACAGGTCTGGGAGGAACCAGCCAGCAAGCAGATGCTGTTGCCTCACTGCCTGGCTAGTGCACTTCCAACAACCGACAAAAGCCCCTTAGCAGGACCCAGTCTTGCCGATGGGAATCATGAAAAGGCTGTGAGGCACAGCGCTGGTGACAGTCCTGGCTTCACTGCTCATCAGATGTAGGGCGCTGGACAAGCTATGTGGCATCTGTGTGCCTATTCTCTCCATCCTTAAATGTGGCTAATAATAGTAACTGCCTCCTTTGGTTGTTCTGATGATTAAATTAGTTAATATTTGGGAAGGCAACAGAGCTGTGCCTCCTGAGGCATTATAAAAGATTTAAAGGAAGAGGTCAGGTCCCAGCATTATCTCCCGGAAGCCTTTAGCAGAGCCTATCTTGTCTGCCGTAGCAGAAGCAGCTCCTGTGAGGGGTGCCTCTGGCCAGACTCCACCTGTTTTGCTAGTTAGAGAGGACAGCAGACCCTCCTGGCAGGCCCTGCACACCAAGCAACAGTGAGGTCATAGCCATGTGTGGTTACTGGGGCGGCCAGCCAGAGCATGCTTCCTCCAACCCCACATCCTGTGGAAGGCTGGCAGGCCTGCTGCGCCCCTCTCCTCCTCTGTCCCTGCACCCACGCACACTCCAGGTCCCCTCACAGTTGCACTGTGCCCAGTCACCCTGGGGCTGCCCCCTCTGCAGGCCTGGGCTGAGGAAATGGCCTCCTCCAGCCTCTCTCTCTTTCTCTCTGACCCCCATCTCCACAGGAACCATGCCCCACTTTTGTCCTGGAGCCTTCCACAGATGGCACGAGTCAGTCTCATTGACCTCTGCACTGGCAGGTCCTTTGCTTTTCGTCTCTCCTCATATCTTCTGAAATGTACCTCTTTTGCTATCTGAGGCCCCCAGGGGAGCACTTTTGCTCTGGGCCACAGCAACAGATGCTGTGTACGTTTCCAGGTGGGCTGATGACATGAGCCACTGCCCTCCTGACTCAGGGGAGGTCAGGAGCCGCTGCTGAGATGAGGTGGCAGCTTTGTGTTGGCCGCAGCCAGATGCTGGGTGGAAAATGACAAAAGCCCAGCCCTGCCTGGGAAGAGTCCCTGTCCATCTAGGGACAGAGAGGGAGAGGTAACATGTGAGGCTACAGTGCCAGGAAAGTCCCAGGGCTGGCCTTTCAGGGGTGCTGTCTCAGGGGAACCACCCACAAGTCCTAGCATCCTACACTCATGGATAGCAGCCTGCCACGGGTCGCAGAGGGATGGACGAGGATGTGCCCAGAGCACTGCTCCACAGAGCCACTCCAGGACCCTATCCCACTCAGAAGCAAAGCCTGCACTCTGCCAGACCCCGGGGAAGCTGGCACCCAAAGTTGCCCAGCAGTTTTCCAGACCTGTGTTCTAAACTATAGGTTCAGTTACTTACGATGAAAAAGGGGGGAAATGAATGGCTAGAGCATAAGGAAGTTGTAGGGTACTAAAACTACTCCACAGGGGACTGTAATAGTAAGTACACAGCATCACACATTTGGCAAAACCTACGGAATGTACAACATGATGTAAGCCCTGCACTTTAGTGAACAATCATGTATCATTATTGGTTCATCACTTGTAACTCATGTGTCATGAAAAAAGAAAGTCAATAACAGAGGAAACCACAGGCTGGGAGAAAAAGACATGGGAGCACTCATGCTCAGTTTCTCTGTACACTTTTAAAACTGCTCTAAATAATAAAACCTGTGGTTTTTTTCAATGGAAAAGCAAGTTTTGCCTACATTGCAGTTTTATTTGGAAAATTAAGAGACACAAGGCCCACTTCTTTCCCCTTCCACATCCAGAGCTTGTCACAGAGCTGCCTGTGCCAGCCAGACTCCATCTGTGATAGAGGCCTCCATACATCTCAGCTCTGGGGCTCTGCACTGCTGTGGTCTCAGCTCTGCACCTCAGTTTTCCAGCTGGTGAAGAAGACACTGATATCTTTGCTCCCTCTCCATGCAGGGCGTCAGGCTGTCAGACACGCAGAGGCTCGGGACATGGGATGTGCTAGGGGTCCAGTGAATAAGCAAAGCCCAGGGACTGGGGCTAAGTGAAGGCAAAGGACAGATCCAAAGACAACAGAATCCAGAGAGCAGCTCTAGACTCCAAGGAGAAACTACCGAGCATGTCTCTTGCTGCTGGTGTGTGACTGGCAGAGGTCAAAGCCCCATCTGCCACCTCCGACTGCACTGACAAAGCTCCTTCACCTCCCTGAGCCTCACCACTTCCTCTGAGACCTGGCACAAGGCACTGCCTTGGGTGCGCCAAGAGACCCAAGCAAGGCAATCCCGCCAAAACACCTGGCCAGGAGAGGTGCTCCAGAGGTTAACTTTCCCTCTCTCTTGCTGATAGTTTTTCCTAGAGCAAAATGAACAGGCAGTGTCAGTATGAGTCAGGAATGAGAGGCATTGGAAGTTCTGGAGGCTTCCACCGCTCCCACAGGCTACTCATGCTGGCGGCCAAAACAAGTCTGGCGCTCCAGGTGAAAAGGAATTCTCACCCAGACTGCAGTCTTGAAATCATAATCCCCGCCCCCTCAGGGACAGATGACACATGGAAACTCACTCTCTTCTGTCTGGAGACGCGCTGAGCCAGCAGCCATGTCTAGGGAAAATTCCCTGGGACCAACTTCAACTTGTGGGGCTATGGATCTCACCTGCCCCACTAGGGACAGCGGGTGCTGGCCAGCATACCCTTGTCAGACTCGCATAAGCAGTGAGGACAGAAAGCCCAGCTGGGGGTGCAGGGAGGTCCTCTTTAAAGAAGAAAATAAATTCTCCTGTGAAGCATTGTTGTACTCCCCCAAATCTTACCGAAAACCTCAGCTACCATATTTGTCTCTCACCACCATGCAATATCAGACAGAAAATGGAGAGCTAAGACAAAAGAAGCCACACATGGCCATCTTCACATCTGTCTTTCATCCGGGTCTCTCACACTGATGGTGGCCTATGCTCTGCCTTAACTCGCTGCCCATTTCACAGGCTAAGACTCTTCTTACTCACTGCCCAACCTAGAATTCTCTTTGTGGCTCTCAAGGTCTTGTGCCATTGATCCACCCAGGCCTCTCCTTGGCTCCCCTGGGCTTCTGCTCATGCTGGGTGTCCCCCTCAACCAAGCCCTCTAGTCAGGCCTACCTTGCCATTCTTTCTCCATCCCAGCTGCCTATCTGTGCTGAGCTCTTCAGACACCCCAAGTCTAAATGGGATCCTCAGGAAATGGAGTGGACCCTCAGCCCCTGCCTTGAGGACTTGGAAACACTTGAACTGTCTCCAAATCCCTCTCATACCTATCCTATCCTCACTTGAGGCTCTCAGTAGCTCTGGAGTCAAGTAAAACAACTCCCATTTTACAGGGGAGAAAATGAATGTTTCAAGGAGGGAAGCATTTGGTACAAGAGCACATGGCCAGTGAGTGACAGGCAGAGCTCGCCCTTGGCTCTTTTAATTCCAAGCAATATATCCTCCCCCTCCCCACACCCAGTGACCCGCTAACCATAGGTAGTGGCAGAGGTGGAGAAAGATGTATGTGGAAGAGGGTGCTTGTGTGGATCCAAGCTCAATTCTATTAGGTAGTGAGGAGGATGGAGAGCACAGCCAAGCTGATGCACCGATTTAGGGGACCACAAATCAAGGAAGATGGGAGTCACTGCTGACACATCCCTCACCCCAAGTCCCAGAGCTTCCCTGTGGCAGCAGGGCTGTAGGCCATTCCTCAGCACTGGCCAGGCAGAGGCAGGTCTGGGCGAAGGCTGGCTCTGATCTCCCAACCTTATGACTTTGCGTCCCTCCTTGGGCCTTGATTTTCTCTTCTAAACACACACACACACACACACACACACACACACACACACACACACACCCCACAATATGTGCTTGGACCAGCTTAAGACACAGTAAATTCTCATCTATGGGTGTCTGCACCCCTGGAGGGGCTTGCAGACGTGCCAGTGTTTCTACTGTGTGTCAAGCAGGCCAGAGGAGATGCCAAAGCAGCAAGTTTCTGAGGCTGTGAGAAGACATGGGAGACACAGGCAGAGAGGCAGCCTCAGCTGGGAGGTCAGCAGCCCCACAGCTATAGTTGTTGATGAAGCTTCCCCAAAGGTTCAGGGGCTAAAGGCTTTGTCCCAAGTGAGCCCACTCTTCTCTTTCACTTCCTGGTCATGAGGTGAGCATCGTGCTCCGGTACTTGTTGCTATCGTGATTTGCTGCCTTGCCATGGGGACAACCAATCACGGACCAGAACCTCCAAAACCATGTGCCAAAATAAACTTTCCCTCTTTATAAGCAAATAATCTCAGGTGTTTTGCTATAAGGACAGACAGCTGACTAACACACCCACTGATGCCAGCAACTCACCAGAACTCAGGAAGCCAAAGACACCTACTCGGTAGTTGGCAGTGACCACAATAAGGTTACCAACAGCAGCCAGAAAGGAGCCATCAATTGTCAGCTGTCCATTGCTGACTTCTGCCTCCCTGGCGTTGTGGAAGAACACCAGTACCGATGCGTTGGGGGCCTGTGGGGATAGGAAAAGGGCAGAGGTGCTTGAGCCTGGCCTGTTTTCACTGCAGGAGTGTGGGGAGGGCGCCTGTCCATGCTAAGCCCCACGCTGTGCATCTACTCAGCTTCTGTTGTTAACCCTGCCCTTCCCTAGGCAGAGCACTTCCCTATACAGCAGCCTGAGTTTGTCCCCCACCCCTTTCATGCGCTGAAGCTCTAGCTCCTGGCACCTGAGAGTGACTGTATTTGGAGACAGAGACTTAAAAAGGTGATTAATCTAAGACGTGGTCCCATGTGTGGGCTCCAATCCCATAGGGCTGGTGTCCTTATAAGAAGAGGGAGTTTGGATCCAGACATACAGAGAGAAGAGCAAGAGAAGACAACCATCTGTAAGCCAAGGAGAGAGGCCTCAGAAAAAACCAGCTTTGTGACACCTTGACCTCAGACTTCCAACCTCCAGAAGTATGAGGCAGCAAATCTTGTGGGTCAAGGCACCTGGTGTAAGGCATGACACTGACACCCAGGGTCAAGGTGTGCTGCAGTGCATATGGGACCACACCGGCACCCAGGCCTGGCCTTCTCTTATTGCAAAGGATTGCTTTGGGTCCTCAGTGACACCTGGCAGTTAGCCACTCTGTGCTGAGTCCCCATCCTGGCTTATTCGGCAGCTACAAGCGGCTGGCGCTGTTCTGTTTACACGTGTTACCATGTGCTCCTCACACAGCTCAATGCAGTTGGCATATTATTATTATTATTAATCATCACCTCTCAGACGAGAGTGCAGAGCCTTAGGGTTGTTGAATAGCTCATCCGAGATCACACAGCCAGGAAGTGGAGGCCTGGGCTTTGAACCCAAGCTAGCCCTTTTGTATTAGAATGTTAAGTGGCATCTGGGGGATCTGACGCCCACCTCAAGCTGTGGTGTATTTGTGCAGCACTGGTGCCTGGTGTCGGATCAGGGTCCTGCCTCCATGAGCAGCGACCTCTCTGCTTCAGGTACAGTGAGCATGGCACACACAGGCTTCTACCCAGGCTTTTTGCCACAGCTGCCCTCAGCGGGGCCCTCTCTCCATGGAGACTGTGCTAAGCTCCTGCACCTGGAAGTCTGTCAGCTCTTCCACCCAGAAGACAGCTGCCACCGTGGCTCTAAGCACCCTCATTGTACAGATGGAAACCAAAGCTCAGAGTGCGGAGGTAACCAGTTAAGACACCCAAAAGGGTCACCACAGGACCTGGCCCTCCTCTCTTTTCACACTCGCCCCAGCTCATCCCTTGGTGATGCTCCAGGTCAAATGTCCCCACTGGCAGAACTGTGGGTTCTTCAAAGACAAGGCCTTCTTGAGGCCACAGGAAAGGCCAGTTTGGGAGGTTTGGTTTCTTTGGCTGGGGCCTTTGCACAGGTCAGGGACAGGCTCTGGGCCTGCTAAAGGCTCTGAGTGATTTTACTGGGTAGCATCATGGCAGCACAAGAGGAGGATGCTGGGCTGCCATCAGCCCTGTTGATAACGTAGAGATGAGGACAGAAGGACCAGGCCCAGCCGCTGCCCCCAGGCCGGCAGAGCAAGTGTCAGGACACCGGGGCTCCCCGCAGGGCCTGTCACTAGAGGCCCAGGCCCTGCCACCCTCACTATGGCCAGTGCTCCTCCCCAAGGCAAAGCCGTGACAGAGGGCAAAGCTTCCATTGCCTGGGAATTTCCCTAAGGGAAGGGGCACTGGTTCTGGGGTCAAGACACAGAGCCAGACTTCCACTCTGCCGGCAGGGTGCCCTTAAGTTATTTCCCTCTCAACCTTACTGTCCACACCTTTACAATAGAGGGAAATCTATCTGTATTTTACCAATTTCCATCTGTCTGTCCATCATCCCCTCTCCTAGTTGTCAAGAAGGCCCATGGTGACAGGTTTTTAAAAAGGTGTTCTGTAAACGCTGAACTGCTGTCACAGACTTCTTGCTGACACTATAGCAAATGTCTACCTCCCTTGTCACTGCTCAATAGTCCTCGCCATGAAATCTGAGCCCCAACACGTCTGCAGTGACCCCTGAGCAGCTGGAGACCTGGGGAAAGTCACCTAACCTCCAGGCCGCCGCTTTTCACCCATGAAATGGGAATAATGCAGCCCGAAGAATGATGGTCAGGCCCCCGAGACAGCCCCTTCCTCTCCCAAGCCCTCTGCGCTTCCATCATCACCTCCCCTGCATCCCCTGCTCTCGCAGTCCCTCAGGCACACTCCGATCCCGCTGACTACCCACTCCTTCAGCCATCGACACTGCAAGCCTCTCTCAGAAGCCCTTCCTGGATCAATGCACACATGGCAGGCCCAGCACAGGGCCCTTTCCCATGCCTGCTTGGCTTGATTTACTTCTCACAGATGCTACTGCTCTTTCCACTCTCAGACAAAGTAGCTGGGACACCGAAATTTGAGTTACTTCCTCCAGCGCAGTGAGGGGCCAGCAGGTGGCAGGGCTGGTTCGGACCCAGGACTTAATTTGGCATTGCAGGGTTGTGGTGAGACCAGCACTGAGCAGAATGGCACCCTACCATCTCCCTCATTCAAGGCTCCATAGTTATATTAATGCAGCCAATGAGAGCTTGTGCAGTTTTGGTGGCTACTATGAAGCTCATTCAGATCGCTGGTTGTGGCCCAATCTCTGGATACAGTTTACTCTCACTGCTGGGAAACTGGGGGACCAGGAAGCAGCAGCATGGTGACTTGACACTGGGTTGGCAACCCTGGAAACTCATGCTCCCTAAAGCCCACCCATCCCTTTACTCTCAGGGCTTTGCCCCTTCCCCCAAACAGGGAACTCAGCCATTCAAGAACAGGATGGTGGGAGCTTCTCAAGCAGACACGAGGTTCAAAACAGGGCAAACTGGATTCAAAGTCAGAGTCCAACACCCAGGCACCCGCCTTACACTTCAGACCTCACCCGCCTGGGAAGGCCCAGGCTATTCTGCATTCTTTCAGCCACTAGGCCTCCGAGAAGCACCGAGCCTTTGGGAGCAGTGCTACAGTAGCCAGGGGAGGTGAGCAGGCAGGTTCAGCAGCCATGGGGACAGGGCATATCTAATAGGGAGCTTTGAAGGCAGACACACCAGGTGCTGCGGGACTCACCAGGTTCTCCGGGACAAACACGTTGAGATACAAGCAATCTTCACTAACTCCAGGGGGTGCGGGGCTTCGGGTGCCTGGCAGCCAGCAGCTGGCCCTGCGAAGACAGACCCGGTGATGTGCAGGAGAAATAACCGAGAGGACACAGCCCGTCTCTCCCCGTCGACCTCCACGGCATAGCCCACAGCTCCTCTCTGAGGCCTGGCTTCCCACCTGCCCCATGGCAGCTCCCTCCAGCATGGGAGAGGCCAGTGAACAGAGGGCACAGAGTGGCTGTGCCTATCTCTGCCAGCGGCTCAGGGGACGACTCCCAGGGACAGCATACTGGCCAGAGCCAGCTGAGACAGAGAAGGGCACAGTGGGTGCGCCCAGGATCTTGGCCTTCTGCCAGCACGTGTGCAGACTCTGCTGTCAGGCAGAGCACAGGCCTTCTACACAGCACAGGGCGCTGGGGGACAGCTTGCGTACCCACAGTGCAGGAGTGGAGGCCACCTCTGCTTCCCCCCCTAATTGCAGCATTGGGGTCATCTGCCCAAAAGGCCCCTCAGTCATTGCCCACTCTGTACCATCCCTGGCTGCAGCAACCCAAGATCTCCAGTCACTCGCTACTCAAGACTTGCAAGACCCCATGCCCTCATCCGTTCCCTGAGAACAGCCAGCATGGTAAGCTGTTCCGATTTGTGTTTGAGGGCAATCAGAGAGGCGAGGCAGCCATGGGCATTGTTTCTAGGCCCTGCATGAGCTTTAATTAGAAAGCATCACAAAAATCATTCTCCAGTATACTAACTGTTTAAAATGAAAAATTTTAAGGAGAGGAAATGATGGGATATGAGTGCTTAAAGAAAAAGAAAGCTTGTAGTATTCTCCCAGGTGGGGGACAACAAGTCTTCTTAAATTGTTTTCATGGCCTATTTATTTTTCCTGAAATGGTGCATTTCCTTTCCGGCACGACTGAACTCAGACGTCACGAAGGGGCTGAGGCGAGAGCTGACACGAGCAGGAGCGTGTAGGGCACTGACACTGGGGGGCTGCACCTGTGACCCTACTTAATTTCACCCTAAGTGACATCCCCCATCCATTGCTCAAGCCGGAATTCATGGCTCGGCTTCCAAGTCACCCCTGAGGGCTGCACACCCCTCAGGCCCTACCTTGGCTCAGTGGCATCCCAGGAGCCCGTCCAGTTCAAAGGCTCTGGTGCCCGGAAGCGGCTGTCTGCCAGTGGTGGAGAGGCATAGGGAATTCCAAGGAACTGGTCCACCTGCTTCCATGCAGTGCCCACTCGCACAGCCTGGGACCTGCCCCGTAGCTGGCCACGGGGGGCGATGGTCACAGAGGGTGCAGATCCTGTCTCAGAGCGGAGCAGAGTGGTGCCTGGGAAGAGGACAGGGGGTAGCTATGAGCACGCCCGTCACCAGCCTCCTGAGTATGCTTCGAACACAGGAATCACGCTTCTCCTCGGACCTTCTCAGTAATCCATTCAGATCCTAGAGTTTAGGACTATTCAAGTTAGCTTTCAAGGAAAACAACCACAAACATAGCAGAAGCTGCTGGTCCTTATTAGGGGCCAGATGTGGGCGGAGTATGACACTGACCCCCCTAAAGGGCACTGTCTCCAGGATTCTCCTCAATGCCACTGGAAGGAAGGTGCAAAGCCAAGCCCTACCTCTCACCCCACACCCTGGCATATTAAAAGGGACCCTGGGGCACACACACAAGCCCTGAGCAGTCCTCCAGGAGGTCTGGAGAAAAGACCTGTCTGTTGTCAAACACAGCGGCAATTTCTATAAACACAGCTTGTTTATACTAAGAAGGATGGATGAAGAATATAATTTCTTCTGTCCTTTCAGATTTTTATAGCAAATCCATGAAAAAATTTTTGACTTTTGAATTTCAGCATTGCAGCTAAAAGATTGTAGGCCATATTTACATTTTCCTGGTGAAAAAGTACAGTTGGGGCAGGGGTGGGAAGACCATCAGGAGCCCACCATGATGCAGGACTCCAAGCTCAACTTCTGAGCCCAGTCCTGACCAAGCCCTGTGGACACAAGCCAGGGCCAGGCCCAGCATCCCTTTCCTGTGCTCTGCTGCCGTGGCCCAGGGATGCAGGCCACCTGCCTGTGTTCACATCCAAACTCTCAGTCATAAAGTCACACCAGAGCCCCTGGCCATGCCTGCTCAGTGGTCTGTGTATCCCAGCCCCACAGTGGTGCTCACCACCAGCCACACTCATCCAACTCCACCCCACCCCCTATCCTATTTCCTCTACTATATTTGCTTTTGTTCATTCATCGATTTGATTCATTTCTGTTGAGTTTTAGCTCAGTGCCAAGTGCTGTTGTCTGGGCCTTGAGACAGGCTCATGTCTAGTTCCCTACAAGACTCGGGGCCTTGCACATAGGAAGCAATAAACACTAGTGAGGAGACACTGATGCAATGAGAGGAGTCTTCCTATTCCTAAAACAGGGTTCTGTCTGCTCAGCTCCACTCCTGGCAGATTGGGAGGCAAAGCTTTGCTGCTTTCTCCACAATTTCTTCTGTAAAAATACATATGTTACAGCAATAATAAACAGAAATGAAGGGAATGGAGGCAAACAAGTGACAGGCAGAGTCTGTCCAATCCTCAACAGCATGTTCTAAGCAGTGGTGGTCAGCTGGAAGCGATTTTGTCCCAAATGTCGATGTCACCATGCTGGAGACATTTTTGGTTTGTCACCGCCAGGAGAGGAGCAGTTACTGTCATCTAGTGGGAGACCCTAACATCCTACAATAGACAGGACATCATGCCACCCCCTAAGTATTCTCCAGCCCCAAATTTCAGTGAGATCTGAGGCTGGAAAAGCTGGTGTAGTGTCTGTTCATTATGGCCATGCACTGAAGCCACGTACAGAGCTCACTGACAGTCTGGGAGTGGAACATACCTGGGGGCTTTACATGTTGGGTCTATGTAAAAGCTGTTCTATTTCTAGCCTTAGTCTTCTAATCTTAGAGGTCCTGTGAAATAGGAATGGTAGCAGTCCTGTAACACAATAATGTCTGAACAAATGATGATACTGCTAATGTTCAAAGCGTGGTGCCTGGTAAATGGCAGGAGCTGGACATGTGGATGGAAGAAGGGATGCATGGTTAGAGGGATGGATGAACTGATGGGTGGATGGATGGATAGACTGATTTATGGAAGAGAGGGGGAGGGGGGTTCAATTTATGAAGAGAGACCAAGGGAGGGAAAGATGGATAGATTTATGGGGAAACAGAAAGGGAGGGAGAGAGAGAGAGAGAAAGAGAGGGAGAGAGAGAGAGAAAGAGGCCAGTGGATTTGTAGAGAAGGGGTAGATAAATGAGTGGAAAGAATAAAGGGATAGAGAGAGGAGGGAAGGAGCAAGAAAGGGAGAGAAAGACAGGAGAGAAAGAAATTCCAATGAAGCCATCTCCGTTGCAAAAACTCTGGAGTATGAATTAGAACCCAAAATGGAGACTTAGGAAGGAAAAACACAGTTTCCGTTTTTAATTTGTCTCAATCACAAATCATGACTGACCATCCCCTCCCATTGCTTCTCACATGGCTTCCTGTTACAGTTGTCAATCACAGGGCGCACATTTTCTCTGGCTGTGCAGGGGACAGCCACGTAAACCAGAAAAATACAAAGGTGAAAGCATTGTGCGGGAAGGGACAATAGTACACACTCCACAGTGCCATCCTACACAAGGACATGTTAGAGGGGCAGTTCTCCATTTTGAATTCTTTTGCAGAAACAGTGGATTCTTTCCAACATACCCACACATTTAGTCCATGTGACTGTGTGGCCTAGTTACACTGAATTCATAGAGAAGCAGCCTAATCTATTTTACAGAACTTAATCCAGAGCACTAGGGCATTTCTTTGCATAAGTACCACATAGATTGGGCCCACTGGTGAAATGTACTATTAAAAACTGTCCAGCTTAACTCAGTAATATAAATGTACAGATAGAAGATTGAGGGCCTAGGACCTTCTCGGTTCTGGGAAACACTCCCATAGTCTGAGGCTGAGGTGGAAGAAGGACATAAGAGAAGGATATCCCTGGCACTCAGCAGGACTGAAGGACTATCACATCTCAGGATAGAGGTAGGGTCAAATCCAACTGCTTCCTGCTTTTCTCAATAAAGTTTTATTGCAACACTGTCATGTCCATTACTTTGAATATTGTTCCTTGCTTTTTTCATGCTATAGAGGCCACTGAATAGTTGTGATAGAAACTTACAGCTGCAGAACTTGCAAGAGTTATTATGTGACCCTTTTGGGAAAATGTGTGACCGCTGCTCAGGAGAGGATGAGAGATACAGCCAACACCATAATGGTTGCTCATGTCCTCCAATGAACACATCTAGCAGGAAGAAGCTGCCCTACACTCCTCAGCTCCCATGTTTCCTGGTCTGCAGCTTTCCTCAGTGATGGGTTTGTATGCTGCTCTCTGCTGATCTGGGGAGGGGACCCTGCATTTCTGCACCCAACAGAATGTCTGACACTCAATAGCTGTGTGTGTGGGTATATATGTGTCTGTCTGTCTATCTGTGTGTGTGTGTGTGTGTGTGTGTGTGTGTGTGTGTGTGTACACGTGTTGCTGGGCATGCTAAGCAGGGTGCTCTACCACTGAGTCACAGCCCCAGCCCTGAATTTTTTTTTTTAACTCATTTCAGCTGGGAACAGCTTCCTTCTTCAAAGATCTTATGATGTGGCTGTTTGGCAGCATAGGTCTATAGGAGAACACGACAGTGTGAGACAGGAGGCAGCTCCATGTACCCATCCACTGTGCCCTCACTAGCTATGTGAAATGAGAGAGGTTAGGCCCTGTCACCACCTCACTGTGCCATGCCACGCAGGGAGGAAGGACCCACTGCCAGGGTCAAACTATCAACTCCTAGCTGGCTCTGCACCTTGGCTTTGCTCAGCACAGGATAGCAGAGATGGCAGCCAAGGGACTGACCTTCCTGAGGATGGCCACTACCCTGGAGGAGAGTTTAACTTCAGGACTGAAGTGCTACCACGTGAGAGACAGCCATGTGAGAAAGGCTCAGAAAGGGTGAGGGCTAGACAAAGATCCCCTGAAGTCTCCTAAGAAGTTCAAGTTCAGGACAGGAGGGTCACAGGGCCTGCATTCTGTGGCGGGAGCCAGCTTTGGTGGGTGTAACCTTCAGAGAATGCTGATCTGAAGGTGATGGTGTTGAGTCTGGTGATTTCCCTGAGCTCCTGCACTACTGCCAACATCCAGTGGAGATCAGTGGTCTGATTCACTATAGGTCAGTATCTGGGTTGCTTAAGTGTCTATACTAAAATTGCAAATCTCTTTGCTTTGGTTAAGGGTGGTACATGAGTGGTTCTTAGGGTTTGTCAGTAACCAGGCCACATTCAATGGCACTGTTTCTGACTTTACTATGATAGTCAAGGTGACATAGGTGTTGGTTTTCTCAGTATGCCAGTATATAGATTACCTGGGGGCCACAAACAATACTGCAGCCACTTCCTGAAGAACCATATATGGAGCCAAATAAACTACAACCTTCCCTCTCAAATAAATGGAGGTAATTGGATCCTGGGATAAAAGCAAAGGCCAATAGTTACCCATGCCCAGAAGATATCTCTGCAGCAAAATTATGCACTATAATCAGGCACCAAACCCCAGCACAGGAAACAAATAAACAAAAATAGAAACATGAGAAAACAAGGCAACAGAATGCCTCCAAAACCTCCCAACTACCCTAAAGCCAATTCGGGGGGGAAGGGGGACCAAGGGGGAAGGAAATAAAAATCCACACAGCAGAAGTACCTGAAACAGTATCAGTGGAGGTAACAAAAAAGATCGATAAGATGTGATAAATTCAAAGAAAATATAACTAAATAGATAATGATCCTAATGAAACAAATGATCAGTAAGTCTAGAGAAGACACTAATAAAACATTTAGCTGAGCTAAAGAAAGAGATGCAAAATATGAATGGCCCTCATAGAAAAGAATGGGAGTCCACAGAAAAATTCCACACAGAAATCCAGGAGATCAAAAATATGATTGAAAATCTGGGCAACAGAAGCAGCCAATGTGAGGGAAAAGTATCAGATCTAGATGATAGGGCTGTTGTTGGTGATCAATCAATGAGAGCTACACAAAAGAATATGATAAATTGATCCAACTACTGCTAGATGATGTAAAGATGGCTAAGTAATTGGAATTAGGGAAAAATCAGAAGACACAACAAAGGGCATTAAAACACCTGTTGACAGAAGTAATAACAGAAAAATTTCCAGACCTGGGAAAAAGAATTTAATGTGCAGATAATAGAGGAATATAGAACCCCAAATAGCCATGATCAGCAAAACTACTCCACACCAGAAATCCAACA